TACCTCTGTATTATGTCACTAAAATAAACAAAAAATCAAGTAATTCAACTAAATGAAATTTCATTACTAATCTGCTTCACACAATTTCGGCAGATCAAACAAAGGATTTCTAAGGAAGCAGAGAAAAACTTTGATAAATGAATTTTTATAACGATTTTCTTAAAATACATACATTTTACTAACTATTTACTTTAAAATCTAACGCGTGGTATTCACAGATATTTAATAAAATTCATTAATCTTTTTAAAAATTTCATGTAATTTTTTTATATACTGCTATGAAACGTACACTAATATTATAAATCTTTAATTAATAAGAATTACCTGTAATTAAAACTTTCATGATGATAAAATATGAAATCCCGCGCAGCCAAATACAGAAAATGGCTTCCTCTAACAATAGCTTTTGTTTAAACAACGCCAATTGCTTTGGCGAAAAAGTTTGGTCACACAATCAATATAGGGTTATAAGAAGATTGATGGATAAAAGCTAGCGTCAAACTCACTCCGCCCAGTTACCAATTCCTAAATTGACCAAATATCATGACTCTCGAAGTGTTGCTCATGTGAAGTGCTGCCATAGGTAGAGAGTTCTGCTCTACGCCACCTTCAGCCCATTTCCATCGCCTAATGAGAAGTTAGTACGACTCAAGCACTCACTTTAAGACAATTGCGTGCAGTCTGAATGGTCCCTTAATCAATGGATTGAATATCTCGGCTACGAAAGCTCCAAATTAATAATTTTATAAACTTAACTGCAGCTTTTTACTTCACCAGTGATGCAAGTTTGCACCTGCTTTGGCCTCAATTTTTGTTCCTCATTCACGTTTTATTTAAACCATGGTGATCGTTTAAAACTTTTAGTGATTTTTTTAAATTTGTTATTAAATAAACGTTTGCATTGCAAATTGTGATTTATACTATAGTTCAATTTTATAACCAGACGAGGCATTTGTTGCGAAGGTAAACTTTAATAAATAATTGAAATGTCACATATCATTTCGTCTCGAAATTTGTACCTTTTCCCGAACGTATTTGAAATATCTTTACATTGAAACTTTTCTAAATTGTTCGACCTCGTGACTAATTCAAGTAGAAAAATTGTCAAATTAGAGTTTTCGGGAAAACTAGCTTATAAGAAAGTGTATACTATTACTAATTTAAAAACTTCAATCGCTTTAAAAGTTCCCAATTTATAAATAGGAAATAACAGTCAACATGATTTAATCTCTCAAAACAGGCGCCTATTTTCATGGTGATTTAAAAATAGTATCGAGCGGTATAAAAATAAGGAACCCATTTCAAGCAGTGAGCATGTCAACTGTTATTTCCTATTAACATATTTTTGAGGCGAATGAACGTTTTAATCTAATAATATCTTATCCTGTCTGTTTCTTTAGATTATATATTTAAGAAAGTGGATATTAATAACACATAGTTTATTGATTTAGATTATCTTTGAAAAACTTTTATCTAATTTAATTAATCTTATACAAGTAGCTTTATAATAGCATTGTAGTTATGTTTTATAAGATATTTTACAATTCCCTGAAAACCGTGGAAAATAGTTTCTTTCTCTTTAAATATTCTCAATATATGTCTTTAAATATGTTTGAAATCATTGAATATGATAGTCAGAAAAATTTTAAGTTGTTGAAATTGTTTTAAAATTTTTATTAAGTTAAACGCAAGAAAGAAAAATGAATATATAGAATTCTAATCAGTGAACTGTTATTACTTAAAACTCCTTTTTACATTAGATCAAAATTTCATCAAAAATGTGACTTCTACTTATGAGTATGAATTTACCATAACTTAAAAAGCCTATTTTATGTTTTGAAAAATTTTAGTTTTTCAGACTTTAAACAAATAGTATTTTATTCTAAAAACCTTTGTCAAAATAATCGCAAAGATTTAACGCTTTCCGCTCAGTGACCTGTGAGAAACAGAACAGAAACTCCATGAAGAGAGGGACAAACCTAAAGTGTATAATTTGTAACTTATCTTAGCTAGATTTCTACATTTTATTTTTTTATTACAATACTTGAAGTTTAAATCTTTTTGGGACCTTTGTTAGCACAGACGACAGGTGCTGATATTGAAATATCCTCTTCAAACTCATCAATTGATCCAAATTTCAGTTTATTTTGTTTTCGATTTCTGATTTTTTAAAACCTGTTATGACAGCTCTGTTAAACATGTCATGAAATAGTGCATTCTTCACACTGATCTATTATCAACTTGTTAGTCAACAACAACATTATGTACACATGCAAATTACATAAAAATTCTCATGTTTTTTTGTTCGCAATAAATAAACATCACAGACATCTTAAGTTTGACCTCTAATAAAATTATCTAATTTCTTAGTCTTTATTTCTGTGAGTCTATTCCTTACACCTGTTTTAATCCTTTGTTCAAACAAAAGTTTTTTTTAATTTTCTTTTTAACTGCTACAGAGCTTACTGGAATTACGTGTATGTTACATGCATAGCTCATTCTAGGCACAAAGGTCTGTCCATGCCGAATTTACTACCGTTTAGCGGTACCTTCACAAATTCAATTTTAGGTGAAACGGTAGTTTCACAAATTCAACTTTAGGAAAAACGGTAAACTTTTTCTTAAAATTTTATTTTTGTATCCCTTAAGAAACGATAAATCTATATTTTTACCATGCTTTTGTATTGATTTTGTAATATAATTTTTAATTTTTCACAAATTATGTCTAAATTTTCACAAAATAGGTACCTTTCAGAAAAACCTAGACAGACCCCTGAGGCAGCATCCTGCTGCCCTTTTAGTTAAAAGAATCCACCCTGTTGCCCCTGAAGCAAATTAGTGCCCTGATATAATAGACTCCATACCCTTTTTGCCCTCTTTTTCCTCAATCCTTTGTTTTTTCCCCAAACTCTACTATGGATTTCTCAAACTTTTGTTCTTTTCAAGTCTTTTTATTTAGTTTGTCATTGCTGTCAATATTATGTATATGGGAATATTTACAACATTATGGGACAATTTATATGGGAAAGGAAAAATAGCCAACACACCCCCTTGTTGCACTTGTCTTTGAAAGTTTGCAGTTACTTCCATTATCATTAAATCATAATTATTAAGCATTTTAATTATTAAATCAAAACTACAGACACTTAAAAACATACATTTATTAATATATGCATGCATTTAAAATAAATTACTAAGCTAATTAGCCACATTAACTTTATATATTAATTTATTAATATGATTGTTTTGCTACTTTTAGTAAAGTAAAAAAAAATTATTTTGCTAATTGATAATGTTTTTTAATGGAATGTGTAAAGTCCATAGAAAGAAATTATTCCCTTTTTAGAATAATAATGCCCTTTTTTTAAACTTTTGCACCCTGCCCTTTTTTCTGCCTAGAATGAGCTCTGTACTTGTCCAGTTTCAAAAGTCAGTTTGGGAAGTCCTCACTTTATTTCTTAATTCAAGTGTCTCTGGGTTAAAGGTTCCTGTATTCTTACTAAAATTGCTAATATTTAGTGACTTCTCAGCTCATGAGAAACTTTAGTATATATATATATAAACAGAAATTTTTGCAAGTTTAGTAAAATTCCTTTCGCGCCATGGCAAATGTAATTGAATTTTAACCCTACCATTCCCCAATTAAAACATGCACAAGATTTCATATTTTTGTCAATTGAGGAAAAGAATGTAAAGAATATTTTCATTGCCCTTTCTTATTGAACTATACTGTGTGATATATAGACTTATGATAATTTTTTTATTCTTCTATGATGGTAGATTTATTTGGTTGATGTTTGCTTTTCTCCTGGAATACTCTTTAAACACATTTGACCCTGTGAAGTTGCGTCATTCAAACATTGTTTTACTTTATCAAATGTAATTTTTTTATTTTTTAAAGAGATGCCATCAATTTAAAAATTTGCAAAGCATTGTTGTATCAGATTATATGTTTTAATTGATTTTCATAGTTTCAAAATTTAGCAACATTCTGTTAGAAAATTGTAATTAGCAAAATTCGCACTATTACTTAGTTGGAAATAAATTACACCACTTTTGAGATGATGTCTTAAAAATCTTATTTATTCAAATTTTACGGAATCCAAAAAAAACAAAACAAATTTTGATATGTTAGTGCAATTGTTTAATATTTTAATAAAAAGCAGTTATTGAATATGGATTTTTTTCTTTTTACAAAAGGATTGCTATCTTTTTACAAAAGTTGTAAAACATCCTCAAAGACATATTTTAATATTAAAACTCTGGAAGTATGTTCAATTTTAAGAGGAAGTTATTCTATGTAAATTACAAAAGAAGAAAAAAAAAATTTTTTAATTCAGATTTCTTGTAGCGTGATTTTATTTTCTTTATAGAATTGGTAAATTGAAGTATGTATTTATAGCAGTATTTTATCAACCTGTCATTTAGGTTTAAGGCATAACTTTACTTTGTCATTTCTAAAGTTCTTTTTCATCAGAAAAGAGAATCTTAGATTTATGTGCGCTTTTCAGTTAATAACATATTTTCCATTTTCTAAAATTTTGAATCTCATTATATATATTGACATTAAAATTTTTTTTAGGCTGTCAGATAGTTTTAAATGTATTATGAAATTAACATTTCAGTTACAATTATTTTATGTAATTTAACCATAAACATCATTTTGGCGGTAATCACTAAAACAATCATGAATATGTGAAAACGGCCGTCACCTCTTGGTTAACAGAGGAGGCGGAAAGTTTGTTTGAGGAGAGTATTCTAAATCTAGTTAGTAAATAAATGAATCATATTAATTATCATTGATCAGTGAGTATGATAAGTGTTTAAACAAACTTGACAACTATGCTTAAAAAAACTTATTTAGAATCTGAAAATAAATTTGCTTCTTAAAAATTTTCTTTCTTTTGGGTTTTTATTTTCAAACTGCCCTTGCTTAAAAAACAACCCTCGTGCATTGCGCATTGTAATGTATTTAATTTTTCTCTTTGCTAACTTAGAATATAATCAATTGGATAATGCACACATTTTACTCTAATTTTTTACGGGATTTTTTTAAACAAAATGTTTTTGTTCTGTTTTAATTTTTCTGTTTGATTGAACTCTTATGTTTTTTATTCTTGTAGTTATGTGGAAAAATTATCTTATATGTTACTTTTTCAGATGGCAAATAAATTGGTTACATGTCCTTATGATGAAGCCCATAAAGTTAAAGAAAGCAGATTTTCATTACACATTACTAAGTGTCGACAAGTGAGTAATTTAAAATCATAATGTACATTTTTGATACCTATATGGCTGATTTGACTTCAAAGGTATAGAATCTGTTTATTAGCAAAGACTGACAAAAAGTATAGGCTAGGGAAAAATTCAAAGGAGCCATTTATTTTTTTATTTAACACATCACAACTGCTCCAAAAAAATTTACTTTTCATACATTTCTCTTTGAAAATGAATAGTTTTTTTTATTACAGTGCATGCTTTTTTATCTGTCTCTCATAGTAATATTACATATTATAAAAAGTGTATAAAAATAATTTTGTTTTAAATAGCTCTGCTTGTTATTTTCAAAGCATTGCATGTGTATTTAAAACTCCAATATCATTGAATATAAATTTTTTATAATAGGATTAATTTTTTTTGCAGTTTTTTAATTAACTTATATTATTTTTCAGTAACTTTTATTATATTTTTATTTTTTTGGAAGACAAATGTAGTTAATTCCATTGCTAATCTTTGTTACTTAATGCTACCATGTTATTTGTTATGTTTTGTTGGTTTATTAAATGTATATTTTAAGTTATCATGGTTCTTAATTGGAATACTTCCTCAAGGATACTCACATCACAACATTTCATGTGGCTCTTTGAGGTCCCCAGAATACAGAAATTAGTACTATTTACTTTTAGGGGTTTGGATTTAATATATTGAAGTATAATTAAATATATAAAGATTTATTTATATTTTGTTATTTATAAAGTTAAGAATATGAAATATAGATAGTAAAAATACTAAATATTTTTTCTAGTGTTTCACTTTAAATGTCTGTTTTAATTCTTCCTTTTTTTCTAGAATAATTTAAATGCTGAAAAGTTCATATGCTCTTTTAATGCTTCGCACGTTCTTCCACTTATGGAGAGGGATTACCATTTACAGAATTGTCCTGACAATACTCTTCTTAGAGGAATGACCGCCAGTAAGTTTTTTTTTGTAAAAAAAAAGTAAACTTTAAATAGTATGATATAAAATAGTCAGGGTGCGTAACGTTTGTAAAAAGTACTTAAAGGTGCTTTTTGGGGATTTCGTTTTTAAAAGCTTTTAAAGGTGCTTTTTTCAGCTGGCGTTTTTAAAAAGTGCTTTTTCTTCCGAATAATTTTTTTCTCCCTTCAGTGATATCTGGTGGATCCCATGCATTTCACGAAAAATGGGGAGTTTGCTACGTAATCATTCACGCGGACTTCATGTCATACCCACGTTATGACTTGCGCATGCGCGCACACTTAACCGAAACCCGAGTGCTTCAATTCGGATAGAGAATATCAGATCCTTCTGAAATGTTTTTTTTTTTAATTTATTTTAATTTTGTTCTTGTTTATTTTATTTTACTTCAAACACTTTTTTTGACGTAGGGGGTAAGGGTACTTTTGTTCTGAGTTCAGGGTCAAGTTGAATTCACTCGGTGATGTGGGAAAGTACTGATTGTTTCGATTTACGCCTGTTTCTTTTTTTTTTTTAAACGCTAAAACTGTTTATAAAAAGTTTTTGTTTTTCAATAATATTTTCAATAATATCATTGATTGAATATGAATTTTTTGAGTGCTTGAAAACTTTTGCAAAGTGCTTGAAAAGTTTTTAAAAAGTGCTTATTTTTGATTCAAAGATTTGGCTACGCACCCTGATAGTGGGTTAGATAATCTTAGTCAAAAAGAGTATATTTGAATTTTTTTCTTCCCAATGTATCACCTTCCTGTTATATCTCTGGACTTTTCGTTATTTTCGACACTTCCAGATTTAATCAAGCTGTCGAAAAGGCTGCCAGCGCGGAAATAGTTACAACATTAAGGAAGAGCTTTTTTCTCACCTTTTGGAGGAATTCTTTTATTTCTTTTTTCAAATTTATGAAGGAGAATTTACCCTCTTCTAAGAAAAATTCCTTCTCAAGCTCTAAAAAAACGAGTTCTGTTTTACAACTTCGTCCTTCTACTAAGTCAATGTGGAAAGTCTTCGTCTACCATTGCTTGAGTCTGAGTTTGATTTCCTTTAATTCGATAGTTTGATCAGACTGCATTTTCTCTAATCTTGTTCTAGCTAGAGCCTTCTTCTCAAAGTTATGCCGAAGTTGCTCCTTGTTCTTGCAGATCTATGTTTAAAAAAAACTTATTATTGCGAATAGTTTAGAGGTAAGGCAAAACAAATTACTTCACGGGATTTTCAGTTAATTATCAGACTTAAATTTAGTTTAGCTGTACTCCTAGAAAATTTCAACAGAATATAAATTTTTGATTAACGAAAATATACGTATCGACAATCTCCATGTTATTGGCAGAAGCAACACACACCTTCATAAACAACAAACCTTTTTGTTATGAGACGCAAATTTATATAAATTTTTTTTTCCTCTTCAATTCAACGTAATAGGTGCTCAAGAGAAAACTTAAAACCAGCACAGAATGCTCCATGCCTACGGAGAAAGGGAAAAGTTTTTCCTTTTCCTGTGAGTATTCAATCATGGTGAAAAGTTTTGGAGGATCACAAGCATTTTTTTCTCCTTTTGTGCACGAGAAAAGCTGTTATTTAAAAAAAAAAAAAAACAATTCTATGCAAGACAACATTTTATTCCCAAATGAAGAAACCTTTTGAAAGAAATCTAATGTTCTGTGACAATGTCGCCATGTCGTCGCGATTTTCCTAAGGTGACGATTCCTGCAGATACATTTAATGAATGTGTCTGCAGGCATTTATTTGGAAAAATTGAGCTTGTTCGTTTGCAAACTGTAAAAATCTATAGATTATCTATTAATATGGAGACAAACCAGTATTTGCTTATTAAAATATTCTTTGTTTAAATAATGGATGTTAAATTAAAAAAAAACTAACTGTAAAGAAGTTTTTTTTAAAAAAAAGAAAAACTTATCTGTTTAAATAATTCAATATGTTTTTCAGTTTTCATATACCTACTTCATTTTTAAAAATATTATTAGTTATTAGGTGTTATTAATTTTTTAACTTATATGGTTAGTTTTGCAGTAAATTTTAAATTAATTGAAGAAAAAGGAAGATTTTGTTCAATAAATTTCTTTAGCACTTTTGCTTTTTAAAATTTTCTCTTATACAATTCAATGTTAGAAATGGTGCTTAAGAAGAAATTTTTGTTCTTATTTTTGAATCTTGAAATGTATACTTATGAAGTATAATATCTTTCATATGTTTAGGAGTTTAATATCTTCGTTTAAGAAGATTATATATCTTTTCTGTTGTGAGAAGATAAGTTGGTGTGAAACAAGGTTGGCAAGTTTCTGCCGAAGTGGTTAAAACCACTGGTAGAAACCGGTTAAAACCGGTATGGCAGAAACCCTTTTCTGCCACATTTGTGGCAGAAATTCAGAAAATGACATAAATAAAAGTAAGTACTGAGATTGACATACAATGGATAATTCATAGAAAAAACAATTTGATGTTAAACAAAGTTCAATTTATTAACAAAATTATCACCATTCAAAATCAAATATTACAATACATTATTTGCATTCTGCAGTAATCTATAACAAAAGTCAAGTTTTGATGCAGTTTCTAAACCTAGCAATTTCTCAATTTGCCTATGCACGAATGAGAAATTTGAGAAGATTCTCTCAAGTCCAGCAGAACTAGCAGGCATTGCCATCAAGGAACAAGCAAGATTTGTGAAACTTTCTTCTGTTGCATATTTTTTAAAACTGGACCACCATGTAGCAGCTGGGGTAGCTGTCGAAACTTGACAGGAAAAATAAGTTTCAGGAAATGGGTCCGATTTGTTTTATATAAATATTTGATATACTGCACTCTTTATAATTAATATAAACAAAAAAATATATATTTACAAACAATGAATTAAAAAGTTTGTTACAGTTATATGGAGTTACTTTTTTCAGTTTAATTAAACAAAATGTCATTAAGCAATTACTAAAACTAATATAGACATATTTTTAGTTTCTGCCAATTCTGGCCGATTTTTACCGGTTATAACCAGTTTCTGCCACTAGCATGGCAAAATCCAGTTTCTGCCGGCAAAAAGCCAACCCTGGTTTGAAAAGCTTGTTTCTAATTAGGAATTGATGTAAAATAATTCTTGCAGCATTCCTCAATGTTAATAATTTTTATTTTATTTTTAGAGGCTTTACACCAGAACAATCCTTTCAAAGGGAATACTTCTGTTCCTAGCTACACTGCATCCGTTCCTACTACCTGTGACGAAGTTTGGGATGACGGTGCGTTTAACATTTTTATTTTCCTGAAATAGTAGTTATTAATTAGCATGAGGTACTTCCTCAAATTTGTAATTTGTCATTTTCCTTCCTTTTTTCTGATTTTTTATTTTTTAAATATTTTGTTATAATCAAGCACAACTTTTCTATAATTTGCTTTATAAAATGCATAAATGCTAATCAAAATCAACTCTGAATCCATAAATTTATAAAGATTAAGTTCTGGAGCTGGCTATTTGAATTTTTTAAGCTAAATTAGGTCATTTAAAGCCAATTTCGTAGATTTAGGTAAGCTTCTGATCGTTTTTCTATTTGACTTTCAAATTCATATTAATACCTTTATTTCTGTATTGTAATTGAATTTTATTTAGTTAACTTTTTTTAATCTTTCATTATTTTAAGACAATTTAAACATGTTTAAAATGCTGTATTTTCTGATCTGTTCATTTATTGCGAGGGACTCTTATCAAAGTAATAAAAAGAACTCATAATGCTGTAAATATTTGAAGACTGGTCATGTTGCCCAAAAATTTAGTCTGATTTTACTATAAAATATTTTTAAATTTTTTTTTTTAAAGTCAAGTATTTTGTGAAGAGTCTTTTATTTACAAAAAATAGGTGTGAACTGTCCATTAACAAACTCAAACTTTTCCTAAACTCCACTTAGTAATGTGATATATCAGTTTTTGTGTTGGAAGTTTACAAAACTTGCTTCTAATTATTATATAGTATCAAATGTGTGATGCATTTCACCTCGGAGCATAATTGTTTTGATTTTAGCTGCACGCAAAATAATCTAGAGAGCTACTGCTTGTTATAGCCCTTAACTGTAGTTCAGAATCTTTTCTATCTTGACTCTATCCATTCAGATTTTTTTTCTTCGATTTCCCTTTTTTATGTTCGCACTATTATGCCTGCACTAAATTTTTCTACTCAAAAACTTAAGTACATATTTGAAGACTAAAATATGTGAACTTGCTTATAAATTAGTTTATTGCTTTTTCAAATATTAATTTAGTTTATGCATTTTAGGACTGGAATCAATGGAGCCTGCTCCTGGATTTGTACCATCTAAACCACCTCCTTGTGCAATAGTTGAACCTCCTGCATTATCAAAACCAGCAGAAAGAAGGAAATTGTATCAGGAATTACATAAACGGCCTGCTGAACTTGAAAAGTAATGATTTACATTGTTATGGATGAACAGTATAGAGTTAATAATATTCTTATTGATAAAATGTAAATTGCAGAAATATTGTTTGCCACTGTAACTGTATCAAATTAAGGATGTGAACTGAAAAATTTTGAATAAAACATGTCAATCCAATTTTTTGGAATTTTAACAAGTTTTTCATAAATAAAATGTTACTGCACATGGTTACCTTTTTGGAAAAAATCTAAAAAGGCTTTAAAAGATCAAAGAAATTAACATAAGTATTTACTTTTAATCATTCAATGTCTTATTTTAATTATTTTTAACATACATATGCATATTTTTAAGTGACTATTTCTTCTAAATCTGATCAATATGCCTAACGTTTGCCAACTCAGGTTGCCTAATAAGTTTGCTGAACGAGGTGTACAACTTTTTTATAGTTCTGTATATTTCAGTTGTTAGTGATTTAATAATTAATAAAATAATGAAGCTTAGATTAAAAATTTATTTTGTCAATCTGTTAAATTCCGAACATACCATTTTGATTTTTTTAATTTAATTTTAAAAAATTTTCAAAGAAAAAGTGGCTTATTTTAAAAGTAGTAAAAAATATTGTTTTGCATTTTTTTTTTTAAATTTATCAGATGGGGTTTATCGGAATGAGTTTATACAAAAAAATTTCATTTATCATTTGTGAGAAAATTTCTTATTTTAAAATGTGTAAGTATTTAGACTTAATGTTCTGATTTTTGCAAGGTATTATTAATATTTCAATGTAAGGAAAACAATGAGTCAATTTTATCTATAAAGGAAGCAATTATTATTGCTTCCTTTATAAAAAAGAAAATATTATTTTTACCATTTTTAAACCAGGATATTGTTTTATTTACTATTAGAATGTGTTTGTACAGAAATTTCTTTATTGATCATGTGCGAGAAAATGTCCCATTTTAAAATTTGTTAGTATATCGATTTGTCTAATGTTCTGATTTTTGTAAGATATCTTGGTACTCAGTGTTTTCATTACAGAAAAATAAATGGGTGAGAATTTCTCACCCTTTCTCAAAAACAGGGTGAGATTTCAAAAAATTACGTGAGATTTCTAAAAATTTAAAAAAAAACAAAACACGAATAAACTTGGAAAAAAATATTTCTTTAATTATAGTACATTTTTAACATCTTCTAATTTTTAAAGCATTAAATATTTTTGCTGCATCATCATATGGAAAATGTTCTGTATCTACTTTTTCAACAGCTATTCTCATTAGGTTGCTCAAATGCTTATCAGTCAATCTGTTACGATAGTTTTCTTAATCCGGTTTTGGGTGCTAAATGACCTTGCAACAGGTGCTGAATTATTTGAAAACACTAAGTAAATTTGTAGCATTGTGCACACACTTTCCTATCCTCTACATCAGCCAGCATAGGCTTTTAAATTATTTCTGCTATAAAATCTTGAAGTACGTTGAAGTTCTTTCCAAGTTCATGCTAGTATTTGATCCATATCCGTTGAATATCCGTATTTGTTTCGTTTTTACCGTTTCTACATTTGTTTAATTTGTCTTAACAATGTATTTGTCCATCTTACATTCAGGCACAAAAAATGTAAACATTTTACATGAAGAAACCTTACCTACGGTGAACACGTGATTGCAGAAAAAGGGGTTCGGGGGGATGCTCTGGCTCTGAACAATACTGGTAAATAGGGAAGCTAGATAAGAAGGACCGATATTGAAAATAATGAAAGATCAAGGAAGAAAAACGAAGCAGATTTCATTCAAAATGGTAGAAGACGAAATTTTTCCCAAAATTCGTGAGATTCACGCATTTTGAGATTCATTAATAGGGTGGGCGAACTTCTCGCATTAATAATTTTTTAATGCGAGGAAAGAAGAAAATATGCGAGATTCTCATGCTGTAGTGAAAAAAACTGGTACTATTACTAATTAAAATTTCTTAGAAGAGAAAAGGAGTTACTTTTGTTTATAACAGTAGCAAATACTAATTGCATAGTTTTGTAAATTTACTCTGGTATGTATAAATAATGCTTCATAAAAACTTAAAACTCTATGCTTAATGTTTCTTAATCTTGTTTAGAAGATCAAATTTGAATAATTTTTTCTCAAAAGAATTTTTCACACTTTGGTGATTGTCAAGAGTTGCTTTATACAGAAAAAAAAAAAAATTTATAGCCATTTTCAATTTGTATTGGACCCATTGTTTCTATTCAAATTACTTAATTTGAATTCCAATACATTTTGTAGAGAGAGTTATGTTATAAAATTAAAATCTCCAGTGGATCATTAGATTGAGAAGGCACTTTTTTCAAGCTGATATTAAGTTCAATGTCTGGAGTACTATCAACATGAATTTTCAGATCAAAGTGTCTGCTGATATGACAAAGGGTCATTAAGCTTAACCTCTGGTAATTTATGAAAAGATTTCATCTGTCCATTTATGACACTGTATGTTTGAATTTGTTCTTGTTTTTTATTGGCTATAATATTTCTAGTCTTTTGTCAGCTGGATTTTTTCACTTGCATGAATATGTAATTAATCATTAATCAACAAATAATCAATTTTTTTTACATTAGCCCTTGCTTGTTTATAAATCATGGGTTTTAGTTCTTGTGGTTGAGAATCTTATAAAGATATAATATTTCTTAGTTAACCAAATGATTTTAATAGGAAAAGTGCTATTATATTTTTATTATCATTGTTGAGATTATCCTTGTATAGAAACATGTTACTTTCTATAATTTTCTTATGTAAAGATGTCTTCTTTAGTAGCAATTCTAAACCAACACCTGTAGCTGAGCCTAAATTGCAAATGTACAGCAGACAGCCCAAAGCTCCTAGTGAGGTTTGTACATCTTAAATGTTTTTGTATATGTTACTTAAAGTATTTCTTAAGGTTGTCTTTAAGTTTTGAATATGGGTTGTCTAGGTGTGAAATTTAATTTTAATGCCATCCGGATTTTCTATGACTATTATGTGTTCACATTATTTGCATTATCATTAACCAAATGTTGTCTATTTTTGTTAATTATTTATTTGCTACACTAATTTGATTAATTATGAGTGATTAATTTTTATGATTTGGCTATTAATGATTGACTATGAGGAATTTTCAGCATTTGAATAGATGTGTGTTAAGTAGAAGTAGCAAACATTAGACTTGATTGGCTTTATTGCATTTATTGCACAACTTTTTCTTTTAACAGGAAATTTAAAAAAAAATTTGTAGCAAAAGTTTTTTTTAATTGGTCAATCATGTTCAAATCATTAAGCGCCATAGTTATTTTGTAAATTTTAATCAAAGAAATTTTAAGATATATATAAAGTGAGGTTAGCTTGAGAATATTTTAGAACAATGTTTAATCATTATATTTGGACACTTCCTTAGTTAATGTTTTTTTATTTTGTTTTTTAAATTATCAATCAATTTTCTTGGGTGAATTCATATTCTATCACTATTTTAAATTTAGGTTGAAAATAAAACTGCAAGTGAATTTCATCATCTTGGATTAGGCAGAGGTAATAGTCACTTTTTATCTTAATAATTGAAGTGTTATAACTATTTAAGCTGATGCTTCATATACTATTATAATATGCACATTGACAAATAAATTAATAATACTATTAAAATAACATTTACTTTAATCTAATATAATGTAAAGTTCTTTTAAATCAAAATAATTTAATTGCTATTTTGGCAATTAAATATATAACTTAATCATTATTATTACAAATGTTAAATATTCAAATATTTATTATTTTTGTGAATATTGTTATAGCTAAAAGTAATTCTTATACAAAACAGGTATAATTATTCAAGCATGTACAATATATACAAACATGTATAAATGATTCATTGTATGTGTAATCAGTACTACGGCTAGTAATTATTATTATTATTTTTTTTAAATTAAAGTTGTAGCTATGGAGACAAGATTGCTCCACCTTTTATGAAATCTTGCCTATCACTTTTTTAATATTCTTATCGCTAACTGCTGTAATACAGTTTTTCAAAAAGTTTTCCCGCATGTAACGTGTTAATACTAAAGTTGAACTGTCTGCTAAAAATTTAAGCTAGTATAAATGTTTTATGATGAGTTTACTCTTAATCTTATAAATTATAAAGAATATCTCTGTCTGTGCTTATTCAAAATAATTTTACTAATTACTAATTTTCCTATTAGATCAGTTTAGGATTTTTTTCAATAATTCATAGAAAAATATCAATCTGAATACAGAAGTAGAAGGTTAGACTTATAATACAAATATTTATATAAAATCTCTTAATACTTTAATAATTATAAAATGAATGGATATATTTTGTTTGTCTCAGCTGTTTTGCATATTAAATGCTATGAAAACTTCCAACCAATATTTTTGTTTATATATATATATTTTTTTTTGTGTATTTATTCTTGGCTCATTACTGCCTTGTTATTTTTATTTTTTGGTACATGATGTTTGTAAATTAAAAGTACCTTACCTTTTCTTAAAAACTTGCTTTTCATGCATCTCTCTGTTTAAAATGTCTGAAGGAGAAAATTTATCTATGAAAGAATAAGTCAAAATTATAGAACTTATCTTAGATAAAGGAGAGAAAATAATGCCACATCTAATCAAAATATGTAAAATGAAGTGATTAAAATAAATTGTTTTTAATGCTTGTCATTTTGTATTAGCATTTAATTTGGCTGTATATAGTGATAAGATTTATTAAGTTTAAATCTTAATGTATTGGCAATAAAATATTTCGTTTATGGGGTAGCTAATTTAATTTAAGTATCGATCATCATAGTGCTAATATTGTTATAACAGAAGGGATAGTTTTACTGAGTGTAAATGTATTAAAAAGTGCCTTTTATCAATAATTTGCTCGTTCTCAAGTTCAGCAAGATTGATTTTTTATCAAGATCTTATCTGATTTTTAACTGTTCTTTTATACAGGCAAACCTGCTGTTGCACCTTCACGCATTGCTGCAAATATTTTCGCACCAACTCCCGCCCCTCAATCTGCACCTACCAGCAATATTAATTACAGTGCTGCTTTATCTGGTATGAGCAAGTTGGGTTTTGGAAGGGGGTACTCTGCAGCGGCTGGTAGGTTTATTTATCACATTTCGTAAAATTTTATTGGTATTTATAAAGTAATGAAGTCATTTAAAAATATTTATTTGTAGCTACTCAAAATTTAGAAGATGATTTCCCTGCACTTGGTTGTGGAAGAGGAGTATATAGAACTCCGAAAAATGGTAATATACCTAATTTTTTGTTTAATATTTTGAGAAAAAGATAAATAAAATTTGTTCAATTTTCTTTTTTTTCTTTTCCATTTAGATATTAGGTACCCTGGCTCGAGAAGTTAAGATATACTAAACCAGGTAATTCATATTTTTCATTTTAATGTATAATGCACACAAAAAAAGGGAACACTCTGGATAATTTTTGATTTCATGATTGATACTAATTCTGCAAATAATTATTAAAAATTATTTTTTGGGTGAAATTTTCTTTGGATAAGTGAATTTTATAATTGTGCTCAAAAGTGTGTGTGTGTCTATTCAGGGACCCCAAACTATTGGGACCGTCCTTCCCAGATTGGGGCTACTATTGTCCAGATTGGTTATATTTTGAAGGTCAGAAATCCAAATACCCCGAAAAGTAGGTTTATGTGTTTATTTTAAATACTATTTGCACTGATAAATTAACATATTTGAGGTTACGCCATGAAAAATTAGGATTGAATCCTTGTACCTGAAATAAAAATTAGATCAAAAGTTATTCAGAGTATCCTGCTTTGTTTCTCACTCTGTAACTATGTTTTTATTAATTAGATTTTCAGAATCACTTTTATTAATAAAAAATCATATCACTATCAGCAGAAAAATGGTAGTGCCTTAAATTTTAAGGTTTTTTAGATTGAACTTTTAAAATTATTTCAAAATGCTTTTGCAATGCAGTTGGACTGTTTAAATTTTTATTACAAGGTGCTTTTGTAGGGCAGTATTGTTAGAGTTGGATATACTTAAATTTTGTCCTTAGCAAGATTTTTTATTACCAATTCTGCAGGAGCTATTGCTGTGACAGACATCGATAAAAAATTTGATATTGATTGTATAGAGCAGATTTCTATTGGGTTGTACTGGTTGACTTAGGGTGCAAGCTTTGTAGTCCTGGATCAAAAGTATATCTAATATTTTGATCGCCTCTAAAATAAGTAATAAAAAAACTCTCACCAGTTGAATTACCATTTCTCAAAATGCAGAATAATTTTTTTAGGAAACTTAATATAACGAGAGGAACATCACTTAAATATCAAATTATGTAAATAACATAATTTGACCGCATATGAAATTTTCATTTTGACTATGACATAAATATCGCTATAGACTTAGATTGTTCTGCTCGAACTCTCACTACTATAGGGATTTGTATTATATATTTTTTTCCATGCATTACTCATCCCTGAATGTTGTATACTTTTGAATTAGCAGTTCTCTGAAACCAGATAGATAATTTTAGCTAATCTGTCATTGCTGTTAAATTTTGCTTATCGATATTCAGGATTAATATCTAATTAAAATTTGTAGTTAAAATGTCTTAAAGTATTGTTTATTTGGAAAATCTGTAAAAATGAGAACAGTAAATAAGTAAATGGAGAGAACCCTCCAATTTTCCGCCAAAATATTAATGCTGATTATTCAGAGCAATTTACCAAAGGCAGGATGAATAAGTAGAGAGTTGCAAAGCTGTGAATTTGTGTAGGCAGACTGCTGGTAGCGTGTAAATTTGATGTAGGACTTTTCTAAGTATTTGTGCAAAATTAAATTTATGGTTATTATAATATAATTAAGGGAGAGGTAATGGATATAATTTAAGTATAATTATTCATAAATAAATTTTTTTTTAATACAGGTAATACCTTTTTTTAAACATTTTGAAAGTCATTTTATTAAAAAAAATTTCCAAGCTGATGATGTATAACTTATAACTATGGAAATAAGTTTTTCTTAAATTATTTTCAGGTATACTAATAAGAGACAAAGTTTAATGATGGAAAAACTGTTAATCAAGATATTTTTATACTTTATTTTATGTAGTGCTTGCTTATGGTAAGCTGCTTTTAAAATTTTATACTATTTTAAAGACACTTGAAAGTTCTAGTATTTAATTACTGTTTCTATTTTGTGTTATTGAACTTAACAGATATAAGGTAATTCTGTATGTATTGCATTTGTGAAATTACATTTAAAAAAACCTGTTGTATATAAGCATGGGTAGAGGTTATTAAGCTTAAGCTTAAACAACGCTGTTCAATTTTATGAATCTCAATTTATTCATTTTTTAAATTTAATTTTATTTAAATTTAGTCACTCTTCTTGAATTGTGTAAATTTTTTTAATATTGACAAAGATTCTTAATTATTACACAGCTATTGTTCGTTTATTATTGTAATGACTGAAAATTCAAAATTGGAGTAATTTTTTTTTTAATGAATTTTTCTTTTCTGTTTCTTGTAATAACCAAGTGATTATTTAAATTTTTTAAAAATATTTTTCTAAATTACAATTGAGTATGGCTGAATATCTTCTACCCTTAATCTTCAATTCAGCTATTTTTCTTGCATTAATATATTTAAATTTATTTAAATATATTATTTAAATATATAGTTTTGTATTGCTGCAAAAATTTTTTCATAATTGAAAGTTATAAAATTTTCTGTTAAATTACATTGGGCATTAGGGAGGTCATTTTATGATAATTAAGTTCCAGTAAAGTTTATTCAAATAAAAAATATCTGAGCTTCAACTTATTTTTTTTTTTTTTTGTCAAACTAGTCATTATCTTTAAAAGATTAGTACAAATATAAGGTACACAAAATAGTTTTCAATAAAAAAGAACTTTTAAAAGGGGCCTCCCATAATGACTTATTTCTAAAAATAAAAAGTTAAGATAAATATTTTTTCTATTATAAATGGTGTATGTTGCATTTGAATAGTTGAAAGACAAAAAATTTTTGTAAATCAGGGGTGATTGCATTCCAGGTGTGCCAAGAAATTCTTGGATTTTCGTATCATTCTTCCAGGTCTAAAAACTGGATGCAAGGCATGTGACTTTTCCATAAAAATTGCTAGTATCTCATTCTCAAGACCATTGGTTTGCAGTATTCCGCAAATCATAAACATAATCTGACAAAACTTTGAAACTTTTGCTATATCCTGTTAACGAAATGTTTACATAAACGTCATTTTTCCACCAATTTGATTCTTTTGATTTGGCATTCATATTTTTGTCATTTTGAATATTTGAAACTGTGCTGTAATCTACTAATATCAAGATTCTTATTCACTCAATTTTTATTTCAAGCATTGATTTTTGTGTTTAGCTTATTAAAAAATATGCGTTGCGATTCGTATTCTCTCAATTTAAAAATCTTAGAACACTATTCCTATTCATGCAGTTTGTATAACCGCGTTTTCATAACCCAATATCGCGATTTGTATTCATGAGAATTTAAAATCCAATGCTGCGATTTGTATTCACGCAATTTTAAAATCCAATGTCTCTATTTGTGTCCTTGTTTTTAAATTCCGATTCATATCCACACTCCTGCATTATCAAACAGATTTTCGTAGATATACGAGATTTAAAGACAATGCATTGTGATTAGTATTAACGTCATCTAAAAATTCATCATAATTTGAAACAATATCTCGATTCATATTCACACTATTACAAAATACAATACTTTTAAAATAGTTACTTTAAAGGTGTGATATTCTTCACTAGTAGGTAATTTAATTATAAATATTGTTTCAAAAAAATTATGTTAAATATGAAGCATGTATAGTATATAAGTTACCTTGATATTGATTTTTTTGCACATAAAATTTTCAGAGTTTTTCACTTTGTGTTACAATCACCCCTGATAAATAATTCTTTTATTTTTAATGTTCAGTGGTAATTCTTAAACTTGGTTATTTTTTCGAGTTGTCTGTTAAAGCCTGTGATATAAAGTTTTGAAATGGTTTGTCTAACCTGTGATGTTTATATCTTCTAACAACATTAATTGTTTTGTTATGTGAGTACTTATATTGTTCTTGTACAATATTTCGAGAAAGATTAGTTCATTATATAAAAATCTATGAGCAAAATATTGTTCTGTCAATTGAATACTTTTATTGTTCTTGTAAAATATTATTCCAAAGATTAAATATTCATTATATAAACAGTAAAATATATTAAGATACTTGAATGTTTGTTGTTTTTATTTTCAAAGTACACATTCTGATTTTCAACACCTTTCATTTTCTTTAAATCAAAGTTTAAGGGTGCGCTTAGCTAACAATGTACTTAAGACCATATTGATACAAATTAGATAAATACTCCAGCTATTAATATCAGCAATATGTTCTTTAAAGTTGGTGAAATTTAGTTAATTTCACTCTTAATAGCACTCATCTTCTGTGCTTCTAAAATTTGTTCAAATAGTTATTTTCTCAATCTAGAGCTCTTTTACGTTAAAGTTATTGCTGTTGACCCCTGTTTTCCTTCTGATATTATTTATTCCATCTATAGAAAATTAATCTTGAAATCTAAAAAAACTATATTTTAAACTTAAGAGCAGGGGTATTTATCCAATTCTGTATCAATGTGGTCTTTTGTATACCTTGCCAAACTTTGATTGAACATGACAGATGTGTCCAGAAAAAAAAAAGACATTAACAGAGCTTCCGTCACTATATAGTTGGAATTCTAGTCACGGGATTGTGTTTTCAGCAGCTAAAATTATTCAAAACTGCTCTTCATCTACAGGACTTGATTTTTCTATTTGTTTTAAAAAAATTCTAATTCTATTTCCCACTGTTTGCAATATTTGGAAGTCTATTCTAGTTTAATCTTTTACGCCCTGGGGTTCCCACCAGTCTACATATACCCTATCTAGATTAATTTAGTCTACATAGCTCAGTCTACATATACTCTATCCTTTGTGGATTTTGAACTGTTTTGTTTTTCATTTCATCCATTGCCAAGCTAGGAATGCTTGCAAGTTAAATTCTTATAATTAAATGAAATCCCGCTTCATTAATAATTTTGTGAATATTAAGATTATCCTATTTCTATAAATAACAATCGAAATTTTAAAATTTAATTTTGAACTGCTTCGAGGCTTTTAATTCTTAAAGTATTAGTTTGAGAAAATCTACCTTTAAATTATTAAATAGAAATAAGGAGACTTTGCTTGATGCATAACGAAATTTTTTAATGGTAATAAAAGGATCTGCTTAAAATTTGGAAATAAGTCAAAATATTTTGTAACTTAAAATTGTTCAGTAACATATTGAAGGGAGAAATGTGACAAACTATTATAATTATTTTGATTATTAGTAGAACAAATAGCACACTTGAGAGGAAAGAAACCAGATTGCACATCTAAAGACATGGACTTAGCTGAAAATTTGCTAATTTTTTTAGAATGGATAAATACTAGTAATGTATTTTGTATGACATATATGTCTAAGAATAACTGAGCAGACATGTATAATATACACAAACGTCGTATGAAAAATTTGTCACAACAACGTAATTTTTTTTACTATTACTTAAAAAAAATGCCTCTTCAAAGAGTTTCTTTTTGGAATATACCTTTTCCTACCAAAGCACAAACTCAATTTAAAATCACCATGATTCTTTTTTATGTAATTTAAGATTGTGCATCTTTTGTATTTTCACGATTTTATATTAAATATAGAGTTTTGGTATAAAATTAAATAATAAAAAATGCGATTTAAAAGTCACTTATGATTCATGGTCAAGTGACTTAAAGTTAAACATTGGAATTCATATTCATGTGATCTTAAAATGAAACAAGAAAATTCATATTCACCTAATTTTAAAATCAAACGAAGTTACGTATGCATAAGATTTTAAAATTAAATATTGTATACTAAACTCGGTGGCGCGAAAGCCCATAGGGGGCTAAGGCCTTCTTTGCCCATCTCAGTTTTCTTGTTCTCTGAGGTGCAGGAGCTGATGTTCCGGTTAGTTGAACGCAGAACCCCCAGTGTTTAGTTCCCAAGCATGCTTGGTACTCATTTATCGACGCACTGAAGGGATGAAAGGCTGAGTCAACCTTGCCCGGCCCGAGGATCGAACCCAGGTCCTGTGGCACAGGAGCGCTACCACTCGGCGTCAAATGTTGTATACACGTGATTTAAAAATCATACATTGAGATTCATAGTCACACAATTTAAACAAAATCTTGCTTCGATATTTTTATTAAAACTTTGATAACATTTGGTGGATAAATGCTTTCTACATACTTTTTTCTTTTTCAAATTTCCAGTATTTTTTTCAATTATTTTTGCACCTAACATTTTTGGATTTCTAATATCAGTTTTTTCTATTTTTTACCAAACTCTTCTCTGTTATATAAATCAATAAAAATAAAATTATCTGATTTCAAATGAATTTCACCAAAATGAGGTGGTGACAAACAAGTTGTATGTCTACAGATGAGGATAAATTTAAAAAAATAAAATACTTGAACGTTCTTTCAATTAGCACAGGAAAGAGTTGTAAAAAGTCATTTTCAAATATTTTCCGGATAATTAATTACAGAAAAAATCTTTTATGCTCTTTATCAAAAATTAGTTTTTTTTTACTTAACTTTTTTTTTTGAAAAAAATATAAGCACAGACATTGTCTCCTAGCATGCCTTTAATTATTATTAATTTTAAACTACAGTAGAGAACCATTTATCCGGTATCCAAATAACCGTGAAAAATTTTGCTCGATTTTCCCGCCATTTTAAACTGGAACGAAAAAAGCGGAAATTGGACTCATCCTTGAAGTTGAGTAGAGGAAAATGTAAGGAAGGGGAAAATTTTTTTCCCCGTTTACCCAGAGAAACGTCATTTCCTCCTTTAGGCCGTCAATCAAACTCAAGGGTGTGACATGCTGATTTCGTTTTCTGCTTGATTTACGAGGGGGGTGGGGAAAATGCATTGCATGCATATCAGTGAACAGAAAAAGAAAAGAGAAAAATATATTTATTTGACATCGACTAATAAAAATAAAATCTTTTTCTTTTGAATAAATTCTCATTCTTTGGAAGAGCGGTATCAATTGCAAGTTTTTCTTGGTGTGGAATCACATCTGCTGTAATTAAAAATCTTGTTTTTATCAACAAAAAAAATANTTAATAAATGTTATCATTAGTTTTTTTAAAAAAAGTTCCGTTGATCTTGCCTTGTTCCGGGTTTCAATATTTATGCTAGTGCCTTTTTTTAACTATCGTTTCCGTTCGATAATTTTCAAGTGTTCAAGTTTTTATTTAGATTAATAAATTTTTATTTTATTGTTTTCCCATATAATTAGGTATGAAATATATTGTGTTATTTAACCATTGGCTTTGTTTATATTAGTTAATTTAGGAATTGTAAAATAAATACGAGAATTTTGTATTTTTTAATCTTGTTTTTCTTGTCTAAACTTGAAATTTTTTTTATTCTTTTAAATGTTATTTTTCTACAATTTTTTTTTCTTTTTAAAGTTAGGAGTACTTTTCTTTTTTCTCTTACTTTATGCATTACACTTTTTCCTGGTACTTCTGGTTCGATAAAACATCGATTAACGACACTTTTTGGTCGATCCAGAAAACCGGGAAATTCAGATATCCGGGATAGCGATGGTCTCGAGCATCCCGGATAATTGGTTCTCTACTACTAATTTTTCTCTTTAGATAATGAGTGAAAATTACTTTTTGAAATTTACACATAAAATAGTATAGGATGGTAACTTAAAAATTGTTGAGGATCAAATTCAGTTATTACATGATATTACATATTTTGATAAATTTTTACCAGGTTAAGTGAGTGCCCTTTCAAAACCCAAAGTGCCTTTTACAATGAGCAAGCACCCTGCCCTTTTGAATTCCTAAGGAGAATTCTGCAGAATAGATAGACAAAATCTGAAAAATTTGTTTTATTTCTAAGTTGCATGGGCAATTAAATGTAACCAGCAATTTTCCCAATTTGGCAATGTACTAGATTCGCCAATGCTAAGTTATTGGGAATAAGGAAATTTAACAACTATTTTTTTTTCTTTCTTAAGTGACAGCTACTTTTTAAAAAATGAAAAAGTCAAATTTCTTTAATTTGGAGATATGGAAAAGTGCCAGATTTTCTATTAATTATACTCCACTAAATTTTTCACCTAATTGAAAATTTTTTAACATTTTGTTACAATTGTAATTGTTCTTAAAACTCTCAAAATTAAAAAATAAATAATTTTGTTTGTAGAATTATATTATTCAACTGATTCTGTACCTACGCACATTAAAATAAGCGCATGATAAACAAGATATTAACTGTGGAAATTTTTTATAAAAAGAAGAGAAAAAACAAGACAATTGCAGCATTTATTAACAAATAAAAAAATATTATATCTAAGTTATCTTTGAATAAACAATTCAGTAATATTTCAAAATTATTCCAGTGGTTAAAATAATAGGTATCAATGTTAGAGTAAAAAAAAATGGAACTCAATTTTTATTGATATTTATTTTATGCTAACTATGTAAAACACACAAGATTAAAATACTAATAAATATCTAAGCATCATCAAATTTCTTTGTAGCCCCTTCACTTAACATAACACTATGCACAGCTTCGTTCATTTTTTGGGTGTATGAGCGTTTATTTGCCCAGTTATAACGACAGTAAGTCCAAAAACACAAGGTTGAAGCCACAAAAGAATAAACTGCTATGTCAGTCGACTTCTTGGCCTTGCTAGTGAACAGGAAGTGCCCTAAACCAGCAGCTAGACCAGTATAGATTCCATAACTGAAAGATTTCTTGAAACATGGTATCTTCTGTAAATCAGTACCAAAAACTGTAAATTCTCGGTCACTCATATTGAATGCGTATTATCGTGAAAAATTATATAATATCTAAATTAAAATTCGTTTTACAAGTGTCAAGCGTAGAAAAAGAATTAGCATGAAAGTGACATATGAAATTCGAAATTACAGCATTGTTTTAGTAAAATTATTCAAACTGCCAATCTGTAATTTTTAACCTTCATAAAAAATAGTCAAATGTACGTATTGAATTTGTAAACAAAACTTGAATTTCTGTATTTAGCAAGCTTCCGGCTGTTTAGTTTTGCTACGCTTAAATCTCATTATTATGAATTTTATTTTTCATGAATTCCTAACTAATTGTTTTAATACAAAGTTAATTCCCCCTTTTAGGCTGATTTGAAAGAAAAAAAAAATCTTTTATCGAGGATCTAATTCAACACTTTGGCAAATGTTTTTAATTTAAAATAATTAAATCCTTAGAGGGCGCAGTTTTCAGGCGATTTTCTTTTCCCCTGCCCCTTCCTTCCACCCCTCTTTCTTTCCATATCATAACAGCAGTATTTGTTGTGAAACAACTGAGCGTGTTTTAACAACTTTGTACATTTGAACTTCTTTGTTTACAAGTTTACGCTTAATAACTTTTAAACTTATATGAATTTTTAATTAAGCATTAAATTATTTATTTTCTGATGGATTACTTTAGAATAAATAATTTACAGTTCAACCAGGACCATGGTCAGTTTTTAATTTAAATACAAGTTAATTTTTTTCTTGCTCTTTGTTCAATGCGTCATTGTCTTTGTTTCCTTAGAAAAAAACAATTTTCTTGTTCCTCGCATTTTTTAAAGTATTTTTTTGTTATTTATAAGAAAAAATGTTAGCTTTATATGTAAATATTTGAGGGTTTTTCTGGTCTAAAAATTTTGGCGTCACAGAGGGATTGTACCCTGGTATCTGTAAATTTGTAAGATTGATTTAATGTGTAATAACGTTACCTTTTTAATCCCTTTTTATTTTAAATTTTGGATATAGTTATGTTATAGTTTTTGTTATAAAAATAAAATATCCTTGTTTCTGTTTGTATTGTCTCTTAAAAAATTGACTTAAGCTATTTGTTTATAACATGCATATTTGTACAAATGTAAATTGAGTTACTTTTTTGATTAAATTTTCTAAATTGCATATAATGAAAGTACATAATACGTTTCAAAGTAACTTCATTTATTCCAAGAGTAAATAATTTTAAATTTATATTCATAATTAGTTAGGGTAGTTACTTAATTTTTTTTAGCTTTATTGCTCTTGTTTATTATATCATTATGGTTTGGTTTTGTGATATATTTTTTTACGTTGAAGTTTTTTTTTTATTGTTCGATTGTAATAACTTATTTATTTTGCCATTTAAACTTAGTACAAATTATGAATGCATATTAAATTTTCTTTTTGACAAATTTTGTTTCTCATACATAAAATTAATTATAAATCTAGGTTGCTTTTCATGTTCTATGGATTCTGGAGCCAGGATTTACAACATGGAACCTCTTAGGGAGCTTACACATTTAGGTAAGAATAAGAAACATAACTATCTGAAATTAATAAGCATAGCAGCTTATAACTCTCGGGAGCGACCACTCTCTGTTCAATAGTCGAATGGTCCTTAATGAAGATTGGTTGTTCTTAGGGGATACCTTCATTGACCTCAAAATGTTGTGGAAGGTACATGATTTTTTGCAAATGGTTTTAATTTTACTTTGTATTATTTTCTTGGTGCAGAAATGCCACTTGTGTTGACTTCATGAAAACTGGATCAATGACTAAACATTAGTGTCAATAAAAATGACTTTTACAAGTATAATTATGTGTAAAAACAAATTTACTAATTATGAATGCTAGAACTATTTAAAATAAACAATTGTGTTTTTTGTTTGTTTGCATATAATTTTATATCACAAAAATGAGTTAGCTTTAAAAAATGAGAAGTCGCTATACAGAGGTGGTATTTCCTTTAGGTTTCACTATATATTAAATAGGTATATTGCGAATATTTGTCTACTATTCAGTATTCTGCACTTTTCTGAATGTTTGGCCTAATGTTCGGTCAAATATTCGGCAAAGTATTTTTTGGTGAGGATTTCAAGCATAAACTTAAATTGTTTTTTATTTTTAACTATACATTATTAGAAATAGTTTTTACACATTTGATAAGTTCGGAAACTTTATAATCTATGTTCTGAAATGCAAAACTAGGTTATTTTTATATTGAGCCTCCTCCATAAGTTTTGTAGTGTTGATTTTTTTTTTAAAATTATATCCGGGGTAGTCTATTTTGTTCTTTTTTCCGCACTTTTTTTTAAGAATTAGTAACTTTTCGTTTTTACAGTTTTTCTGTTTGAATTAGCAAGGCATTTTAATGGAACTCGTCATGTAGACTTTGTTTTTTATTGTCACTATTTTCCTGTATGGTAAAGCAGATAACAGATAATGTTGAAAAGTGTGATTCTCTGTTAATGTTACATTTCAGAGCTAAGAACAGCTTTTCTTTTTTTATTTTTATTAACTATTCTTTTTATCTGCAATTTTATGACTCAGCATTTTCTAAATAGCATTTCTAATGAATGTTATTGTTTTATGGTCACTTTTTTTTCTGAAAATACAGCAGTTTAAAAAAGTTAAATTGAGCTTTTTAATGTTTAAATTTTTTTCATAAATTAATGATTCTTATTTTGGTTTCCATCTATCATATTTTTTAAAAAACTTTCGTTTTTATAAACGTTTCTATTATGACATAGCAATTTAGAGGGTTTCTATTAGACTTAATTCTTCACTTTTTCTTGAAAATATGGTCAATCGGAAAACTGATATTTAAAATTTTCTTCCTAAAATAAAAATTGGTTTATATTTTTTTTGTTGTATATAATTTTTTTTCTAGGTATTTTTATGATAGCACTGCCTTTTTAAAAACATTTCTGACGAATTGTCTTTTTTCTCTTTTTTTTTTTTAAATGTTTTATGAATGAATTTTTTCTGGAAAATATTACTTCTGGCAATAAAATTTTGTTTTAAGGATTAAGAGGATATTTTCTTCTTAGGAACTTTACTGCTTTAGTTTCTTTATTATTTAAAACTGTTACTCTGTTTTTTATTTATCATAAATATTTCTCATTTTCTTTATATTATAATTATTTTTACTTTACCTCATACCAATAACATAGTTAAGTTTTGATTATTTTTCAATAGTGACTAAACTCATTTATATATAGTATTTTACTTTATTTTATTACATTTCAAAACTAATTTTTAACTGCTTTGGGCATCTTATTGTATTTTTTTATTTAAAACTGCTGATCCATAACTCTTTAAATCGCAAAGATATGATGGTTCAAATTTAGGAACCGTCTACTAGTTACTCATCTTTCAGACTTGAAATCTAGTTTAATAATTTAATCATCAAAAAGAAAGAAAACTAACATTTATGATGTCTAAATTGCTTTTGTAATATGTTTGATTGCTCTTTGGAAAATGATGTCGAAAATAAAGTTATTAAAATTATTGAGTAGTAAGTTTTTTTCTTTTCTCCATCAATGCAGTGAAAGCATTTTTTTTCTTATCTTATGTATTTCATTTATTGCTAAGCCAAAAGTACATTTAAATGTATTGTTATTTTAAGTGATAAATTTCTTTTTTTTTATTTTATATATTGATGAATTTATTTCTACATTATGATGCATTAACCTGTGTTATCATTTGTTTATTCAGAGTTCTCCTTAGAAATAAAAAAGGCAGGCGGTTCCTCTTTGAAAAGAGCGCTTTGAGTTTTAAAAGGGCACTCACTTAACATACTGAATATTTATCGAAATACGTAATATTTTGTAATAATAGAATATTTTACTCAACTATTTTTAACTTATCCTCTCATACTATTTTAAGAATATATTTATATTGGTTCTCTGTGCATATTTTTTTCCTCAAAAAGTAAACTAGCAAAAAATGATCGATAAACAACTTGAAATCTTTTTTTTTTATAATTTAAACTGAAAATCAATATTAAAAGATTCATTTTTTAAAAAAAGTTTTTTATTTAAAAGATTAGTTTTAAAGTCACTTAAATTTATTAATAGTCCACTGCCCCCCCCCCCCCAAGAAAAAGATACTTATAAAAATTTAACCAGTTGAGAATAATCATAACTAAGCAAAGTGGAATCTGAATAAAAAGGTACTGTTTTTAAGGGATGGTGGCTTATTTTTACAAAAAGTGTGCATTTATTGGGATCACAAGGCAAGCAGGGTGGACCATACTTCTTAGGGAGAACACTGGTTTATTTTTGTATACATTTATACTTTAGTATGTAGGTTATATGTAGAGCCCGGATTTTGATGACCTAAAAAATCTCAATTAATGCCCTTAAAAAGTGCAAAAAATGCCCTTAAAATGCGAAAATTGCGCTAAAAGTGCCTTATGACATGACTTAATTAGAAGTAAAAATATTGAACTAAAACGATGTTTTACTCTTTAAAATTATTATGAGTCGTTTCAAAAAATATAAAGCAATGCAATACTTGTTCTACGTTCATTAAAGTTTGACAAATATGTTTTATATCCAAAAATAACAAAAAAAAAGGAAAATATATTGACTCCAAAACATTTTCATTTTGTATAGAAACTTAAATGAATATAACAACTTCCATCTCATAATATTACTAAATATCAGAATTACAGTGGATTATTAATTATTATTTTTTTTTAATATTTTGAAATGTAAACGAGCACCTCTTGTCTGAAAGCAAATTTTTATACCAGGAGAAGCTTCTTTCAACGTCTACTGATGTTATTGGTGCGTACTTGAAAAGGACGGTCACACTTACTGACAATTCTTCTTCAATTTGAAAAGATGTTGCTTCACCTGTTAATATCTTAGAAATTTTCTTCATTGTTTGGAAGCCAGTGTAATAATAAAAAATTATAAAAAATAATAAAAATTAGAAAAATTTAACAAAAAATTTAAAAAATGCTTTCAAATGCAAAATACGCCCCAAAATTTTAAAGAAAATGCCCTATAAATCTCAAAAAATGCTCTAAAGGACAAAAAATGCAAATGTCATCAAAATCCGGGCCTTAGTTATATGTAATTTAGTTTATATGATTTAGTTTTGAAGTAATTTATTGTTGCATGAAAACAACTGAAATGATCAATTTTCTTTTTAAATCTATTTGAATCAATCATCTTAATGGGGTCTTAATTAATTCCAAAGTCGAGAAAGTTCAGGTTCCGGAATTCTTGACCATTTGTAATGCAGGAATGAAATAGCTCTTATTTTCATTTTTTTTTTTTATAAATAATTTCGGATCAACTTGTTTTAATCTTAGTTTTATTATTTAAAATTGTTGAGTTTTGCCCACTCTTTTTTTTAATTTTATTTATTTAAAAAATTTTTTTTGTGTGAAGAATTAAAGAAATATGAAGAATAAAAGAAATCCCATAAGACAAAATTTTCAAGCAATTTTTTTTTTAAAGCTCTTTATTCTCTTTATCTCTTCATTCACCATTTTTAGTTCTTCATTCACCATTACAAAATCTGTAATAACCGTTATAGTGACTTTAATATCTACTTATCAGCTTTTGTTATTGTGTTCCCTGTTTCCAAAATTTATTGCTACTTTTCTTTTGAATTTATTTTATTAAATATTAAATTTACCACACTTAAAGTTTGGTTTTACTTTAAACCATTTTTAAATTAATTGCGCATTTGAATAATATTTTTACGGTTGACATATCATTGATTTTTTTAAAAATTATTTTATGTAGACTCTTCTACAGTAGGAAGTCTCACACTGTGTGAGATGCTATACCGTACTAATATTTTGGGTATGGTTGGAGGAGGTAACAAGCAAAGGTTGGCTGAAAATACAGGTAAGTTACCAGTCAAAATTATACTCGTAGTTTAAATATTTTCACTATATATTTTATTACCAATTTATGCCTGAAGCAAATGAGAAAAGTTGAAAGCAAACAATTCAAAAGGGATAAGGAAGGAAAAGTGCTTTATTAAATTACGCAGTTGCTCATAAGCACTTTTTCAAGTAAACACCTCACTTTACACCTATAGTAAAGACTAAGGCTCAAAGTAAGTAAAAGTTAAGGCTCAAAAATATTGTGACCAATGACATGATTGTGACAATGTGGTTAACATAGCGCTCAGGCTGCTTTTACTTCCCGGACAAGCTGATATCCATCGATCTGAAGATGAGTGGGCTTCAAGCTGCAATTGGGGATCGGACCCTGGTACTTCACAATGGCAGTTTGATGCCGTAATCACTGAGCCACCTTGGTTCATTTAGAATATTTACAAATTTTTGTTTGACCTCTCTTTACTTTTCAGTGTAGACAAGAATTTTTTTTTTAGCTTTAGAAAAAGATTTGAGTGGGTATAATTAACATTGTTAAAAATATACTTGCAAAACAAGCCGATGCATAGGGGAGAACTAAAGATGCAGAAATAATAGGTGGAGGTATGACTATGTACTTAAAAACAAGATTCAAACTAAGCAGAACTGTATCTGGCTGCTAGAAGAGAATTTTTTTTCGAGTTTTGGAAATGTTTTTAAAAATCTCAAAAATATTTAGAATACTTTTAAAAAATTTTTGCTATCATTTTTATTATTTGCATTCACTTAAAAGTTTTTAAAACTGCCCCTTATTTTTATTTTTAAAACTTAGTGTAGTTTTCTATTTAATTATTTTTTTTTTTTGAATGAGTTCTCATTACAACTTTATATGCCTCAAAAAGCCAGAATTGTAGCTTTTTATTCACTGTCAGCAAGTTTATATCAATAATAATTTTTAATTTTGTGGGTTTATCTTCATTGTCAATTCTAACTTTTGATCAACAAAGCCATCAATATAGCCTCTTAATGTTATCAAGAATTCAGGATTTTGGTGTAAATTTCATAAATTCTGTTAAAAATACAGCTTTAATAAAAGGTTAATTAACTTAAATAGTTTATATGATTATTTTTTTCTTTAAGGTTAAAATTTTTTGTTTGGAATGTTTTGTTCAATTTGCATAATAATTCTTATACAAATTGCGTCTATCATTTCCTTTTTTTTTACTAAATTTTTCTACGTTTTCAGTTCTTCTTTGGGATGACTTAGGGCGAAAGTTTATATCAGAGTTTACATTTTCTTCTCCTGTCTTATCTATGAGAATTAGAAGAGATAGGTAACTAGTTTATTTTTATTCATGTTATAGTCTAATTTCATCTTTAAAAAAATTCATATTTTTATGTTTTAAGGTACATGTGGTTTAATCATAATATATTTATCATGTCATAGATACGTGTGGATTTTAAAGCTGTTTGTGAGTGATAAATCTTGTAGTCAAAATTGTGACCTCTTTGCCACTATCTAGAGTGCTCAAATTTCAACCTGAACTCATTGCTGATTGACAAACAAATTTCTCTCATGTCCTTTTGGTTACTAGCAGAATTTATTCCCAATTGTAATTTAAACCACTTTTGAAGTAGCTAAAGAGCTAATTTTGAACTTAATTTTGTGTTAGATACTAGCTGAAATTTCAGTTAATTTTGTGTCTGCTACAAGCAGAATTTATCACTATTCAAAATTTTGATTACTTTCAAATATAAACTAAGGCACAAACTTAAACTGAATAATTAAATTCATTATAGCATGTGGAGTATTTTACTGTTTTTTCTTTGAAGTTCAACAAAAATTACAATATTACTACCAATATTAAATATGTATCTGTAAACTTCTTTCTTACTGTTCTTTGAAAGAAAAAGAAAAATGAGCTGCTGAAGAATATGTGCGTCCTAAACTTGTGATAAATAGTAAACCAATAAATGTGTATGTATTCTCATGAATTGAATAATAATTTGTATTATCAGGTAGTTAGTTTTATAATGTGATTATTAAATTGTTTTACATGGATATTTAAAAGAAATATTTTTATGAAAAATTTATGAACTATTTAGGTAATAATTAGAATTTTGGCACTATAGGTATATTTTATTCAAATTATTTCAATGATATGTTTTATACTTGTAAAAAAAAGAATTTTTTGATTTGTTTCAGTTTTTGATTACTGTATATTTCTGAATATAAGCAAGCCTATTCGTTTCAAGTCAAGTACACTTTTAAAAAAAAATTACTCAAAATTGAAATTGATATATGAGTAGATGCAAAATTAATGAGCAATGTTATATTTGTAGGTAACTTTTAACTTTGTCTTTAGACTATCCTATTTGTTTTTGTTCAGAAATGAAAACCCATTGCAAGTCCCATGGATTCTACCTTTCTTACTTTTGTTTACCCTATCTGCTTTTGTCTTTCAACATTCCAGTTTAGGTACACATCAACAGTTCAAGTTGGCAAAAAGCCTAAGCTATTTAAAGCCTACACATTTAACCTTTTCTGTGTGTTATTATTTTTTGAGAAAAGAATAGTAAAAAAAAAATTACTAAAATATTTTTTTTGTTTTGCTATTGTCATTTTTGTTTCTTTTTCGAATTGTTATTTTGAGGCATTTTTTCCCAACTGTTATATTATGTATTTGTTTTGTACCATTTACCATATTAAGTAGTTTATTGCTAATTATCAAATAGAAAACTATTTTTGTTGGCAATGTTTGAGAAAAGTTAAAGGATTTAATTATAAGCTTTAGTTTTCAAAGGTTTCCCAATGAAATCTCGGTCTACATTTGAAAATATTTAATGTTTTTAGCTGCTTTTTTCAAAAATGCTAAAGCTAATTTTTTTTTTAAATCGAAATGTTCACACAATTTTTTAAAACTTTTTGTTTTTTGCTATGTTATAGTTGCTGAAATAATTATATATATATATATATATATTTGCTTGTGCAATTTTATTTACATGAATTTGACAAATTTTTATATGTTTTAGGATTTATGTAGCCGAAGCATTGCAGATTCATGTTTTTGCATTTCCTGATTTCACAAATAAGCTTTCAACCTTTGATACAGGAAAAAATCCAAAAGGTAATCTTGCGCATTATCCTATAATTTTGTATCCTATAATTTGTAGCTATAAATCTCAATTTACTTCAGACTAATGCTTGGCTTGAAAGTAAAAAGTTGCAATATTTCATTGCATTTGTAAATATAACATAAGTTGGAGTGCTTCATTGAAGTTGTTTTCTGATTTTAATATGTTAAACTTAGCTAGTAATATTAAAAGTAATTAATAGTTTACTGCTGATATTCTGTCATTTTACTGTTCTTAAGTTACCTAAAATTTTTTTAGGGCTTTGTGAAGTGAGTCCATTTCCTAGTTCTGAACGTCAGTTGCTAATATTTCCTGGGCATTATCGAGGAAGTATACAAATAGTAGTAAGTTTCAGCCACTACAATATAAATGTTGGTATTTTTCTGCTCAAGTTTATATTCATGTTGCAAAATCATTTCAGGACTTAGCGGCAAAGAATCCTGGACAGACAGTTGCACCAATTATAATAAATGCTCATGACACAGAGATTGTATACATAGCAATGAACCAACAAGGTACATTAGTTGCTACAGCATCAATGAGGGTAATAGTTGAGTCTAATGAATATTTTAAATATTTTCATGTAAAATGTGTGTAATTGCTAAAATATTTAATTTTTAGGGTACGCTGATACGAGTCTTCGACACATTCAAGAAAACTCGACTTATAGAGTTAAGACGAGGATCCGATACTGCTACTCTTTATTGGTATGCTAATACTTTGCTTCTTTTGTACAGTTATGATTAGGCTTTTTAATTAAAAAACAATTCATAAGTTTGCATTCTTTCTTTTTATCTTAAAGAATTTCCTATTTCATGAATATTATAATTATGCTGTTTCAATTGATGTAAAAATTTTTTCAGTGAACATTCTTTCAGTGAAAATTTTTTTTTTCTAAGTTTACTGAAAATTGTTGAGTATTAATCCTGATTTTGTTTTTGTTTCAGTATAAATTTCAGCAGTAATTCTGATTTACTATGTGCATCTAGTGATAAAGGAACTGTACATATATTTTCATTAAAGGAATCAGTGAAAAATAGAAAGTCCATGTATGTATTTTTCTTTATTTATATGCATGTTAATATAGATTAAGTAAAAGATTTCAGTGGTATTGTTATAAGGTTTTAAAATGCCTGGTACTAAAAAAAAAATTTTTTTTTTTTACTGGTATAAAACACATTGATTGTTTGATGGATTGATTTAAACCATTTTTTTTAACTAAATAAAACTTGTGTTCAAGAAACATAGCAAATTTATCTATTAGTTTTTGAATTATAAAATTAAGTTAGTTACTCTGTATTAATTTAACCTAATTTGTCCAAATAGATTTTTTCTGTTTGGGCCTTTGCTTTAATAATTACTGCTTTGTAATAATCTGTTTTGCTTCTCAAAACAATACCTCCCCATTTGTTCTTTTCTAAATTTTTCATGCAGAATAATAAAATACTTAGTTTTGAAAATGCAATAATGGTAAGAGTTTTTATTACGTTTATTTACTGAAAAAGTAAAAAAAAAACTATGGAACCCAAACTGTGATTAAAGTATTGCAGGATTAATGTGCTTGATTAAATATGTAATATTATTGATGAAAAAATAATTTTCATTCCTGGATAAGATATTAAAATATTTTGTAATTAAATTGAAATTATAATGCATTTTACGGATTAATATATTTTTTTTTAACAAAATAATAGACAGCAATTTTGTATTTACTTGTTCGTTTAATAATTAGTAGTTTCAATAATTATACTGGTTTTAGTTAGTTATTTGTAGAGGAACTTATTTTAACTAAAATTATCATAAAACATGCAATATATCCTTTTGTGGAATAGATTTTTATTTATTGAATTTTTTAATAGGTTTGAGTAAGTTGTAAGTTTGTAACAGTTGATAAAACATATAAATTTTTATCAAAATGAAATACTTTTTAAAATATTGGGCTTTTTAAAAATTTCTGCATTAAAATGTCTTTGCCAAACGCCATTTTCACTAAAACCACCGAGGATACTCATAAATACCTTACTTTCAAAAAATGTTTGTATTATCCATTTTTAGTTAAAAGTTCATGTTTTTGGGTTACATAATTTATATACTATGTTTATATCTATACTGCTGGAAATAAATGAGCATTGCAAGATGGATAACACTTTTATTAATCATTTGCATTTTTTTTAAAAAAAAAATACTTGTCTTTAAAAATAAGCTATTCATGGGCTTTTAATTTCTTGCAATATGATTAATTATTTTTCTTTTAAGCAACTGATGTATTTATGTGAATATCTATAAATTTTTGGACATTCAATTTTCAATTGAATAATAAGTAAGATAAAGGATATTAATATCATTAATTCACTTGGCTATTTCCCAGGGTGCATAGTGTTTTTAAAAAGTGTTTATTTTCGTTTTTTAAAAACCCTTAAAGGTGTTTCTTTTTTAATGGGTGTTTTTAGAAAGTGCTTAATTTTCCCTTTTTCAAAATGAAATTTTTCCTATACCATGTTGATTTTTGCTACAAATTATGCAAAAAGACACAGTTCACATTGTTCCTATTTAACGTTTTCACAATTAATTCAATCCCAATTCCTATTTCGGCGTATTGTCAGTTTGTAGCGTATGAAATTCATTTTACATGAATCAAAATTTCATGATTTCATCAAAAACAAGGCCAAATTTTTTTTTTTTTTGACATGTTGGTTAAAACAATATAAAACCGTCAATTGTCAAAATTTTTACAACCCTGCCTGGTTGTGATATTTTTTTAAAGTGCTTAAAAATATTTTTTGAGTGCTTGAAAAGTGCTTATTTTTTGTTGAATAATTTGGCTACGCACCCTGATTTCAGTTATGAAATGCTGCTTAATTTATAAATATTTGTATATTTATTAAATAAAATAGGAGTGATGCACTTAACTACTTTGAATTATCAAATTTCACTGAGTTTATTGGTCCAACTATATATTATTGAGCACTTAATATTAAATGATGTAAGAAATAATGCACTGGACTATTTTAGGTTATCAAATGCCGCTAAATTTATTGGTCCAATTGGGGCATATGCAGCAACTTCCCAATGGTCTTTTGCTGCCTTCACTGTTACCCAAGAATGCAAGTGTATTTGTGCCTTTGGATCAAATTCATCAATATATGGTAAGCATGAACTTATTAACAGATATGATATTTTTAAAGCTGTTTATCTTGCTTCTCAATGTCTTTAGGAGTTCTTAGCAGAATTTGACATTTTCTGAACAAGTTATGTGTTTAAAATATATTTGTACTGTCTCAATTTTTAATACTAGTCTCACTTTTTTTTAGCTATTTGTGTTGATGGGACATTTCATAAATATGTTTACACAGAAACAGGAAGCTGTAATAGGAAATCATATGATGTGTTTTTAGATTTATATGATGAAGAGGAATTTTAAGCATAGAACGGACATTCACTCCAAACACTAGTTTGAATTATTCTGAATGATATTTGTTGTAGACATCATTCAAATTCAGTGCCTTGACATATTTTATTTAAAGAGTAAAATCAAAATTATGTATATTTTTGTTGTTGTGTAAATGGCATGTGACAAATTAAATTAAAAGCAAAGCTTAGCATGCATGTATTGATTCATGCTTGTGTAAAATGATTGGTTTAATAGTGAATGCAGTTTAATCTTCTATGTTGTGAGTAATTGTTTGTTATCATTACTGTGTGAAAAGTTAGGACAATTTTTCCGTGTGTTTATTGCGCGTCACATTACAATGTTTGAATACATAATGGTTTTCTAGGCCATTTTGTTATTAAAATTCATAAATGCTTAAATTTTTCATATGTAGAACGATTTTAAAATATATTAATTATTTTATTTTTGAGCATTTGTTAACTCTGTATTATAATTATAACCAAATATAAATTATTTCTTCTTAAAAATCTAATTAATAGCTGTTTTCATCTTATTGATCTCTGAATAATAAAGTTTTAAATATTAAAACTTTTTCTCTAAATACTAATATGTATTTTTGAAAATTCATTTCCTAGAAATGTAACTTCTAAAAATTTGCTACTTTTCGTTACAAATTTTGGACTTCTTTTATGTTGAAGTAAAAAAATCTAATTTTTTTGCTTTAATTCAGTTCAGTTTTGATATTTTAATTTTGTTGATTCAAGTGTAATAAAACTTTTACCTTTTCTTTTACACATATCATAGAAATTTAATATTTCTTATAATTCTTTTGTGTATTTTTTAACTATTTAAACTTTTTGCCAATTTTTTATTGAAAAATTCAGTTTTGAAACAATTGATTTATAAAAATATGTCTTCAAGTAATTGCATTAGTTGGCATGCAGGAATGTTGGTATTATCAGCATGTTTACGAAATTTTGCAAATAAGTGGAAAAATATTTATTATTATTTAATATCTTTAATTACAATTTTTATATGGTTCTGGTTGATGTTAAATATTCTGATATCTAGAGCTAAATACAAAAAAAAAAGAAAATCTTAATTATATCAGATCATATAAACTCAATTTTATCTAACAAATTTTTTTTAATTTCAACTTATCATTGTTTCTATCAATACCGTGAAAAGACAAAATGAGGCCATCAAAATTCCTTGATTTCTTTGCATGCTGATTAATGTTATGATACTGTGTCTAAATTGAAATTATCATATTAAAGTTAAATAATGCAGTAATTTTGAACTATATAGTGTGCATATCTGTTGAGCTATATGCACATTAGTGGATTCCTTCGAATATGACTTTACAAATATGCACATATCTCAATCGATTTTCATGAAATATGACTAAATGTGAAATCTGTAAAATGATTTTCTGATCTTAGTATATATTTGGGGCCATTTAATACTGATATATTTTCTGATGTCTGTAGAAAAATTAGATATATTATTTTTCCTATGCTACTTAAATTATATTCAGTAAGCCATTCCTAAGCTTATTAAGAGATGAATATTTAAATATAAAATTTTATTTATTTTGCAAAACTGTATAAAGTAAATGAGTACAATTCTTGTTTGGAAATATACTCCGCTTTTATCATCTAATGCGCTTCAAGCGATAAAATAGAACATTTGTAAAAAGGTATGGCGTGTAATTAATGACATTTCATTGTAAATTGCATTTGGAAAGAGATTTTACCTTTGTGTCTTACAGTACAATACTAAGCCAATGACTGTATGTGTTAAATATGTCCTGTGTGGATTTTTCTCTATATGTTTATTTATGGGAGTTGAAGCTTGTAAAGTTTAAGCCTGATTTTGTTTGCTAAAAAAGCTAATTTTTAATAGCCGATTTTGTTTGCTATAAGAGTTATAAATTTTATATATCTATGTTTCTAGATATATATTGGAATGATGTAAGTGTGAGAAATTTTTCCTATCTACAATCTTAGTGGGAAATATATTCCAAATCTCAGTTATATTTAATAGATTGTTGCTAATTTAATTTTAATAATTTAAAATTTCTTTATGAATTTTTACAGTTTGTAAAATAAAATGGGTTACTTTACCTGTTCTCTTATAGCAAGTTTTTCTCTTTTTTTTTAAAATTATAAAACAGTTACGATTTATTAAGCAGTTTCCTTTCATTAATAATTAATTTGAAGGTGCTAAATAATTTAGTACAGATACATTTATGTTCATGCTTTCAATTAAAAATCATAACATAACTGTGTATTCATAATATTTCAATATTTTTTCAGTTTTATCTTTTTAAATTCCAGAAATTGATTAAATCTATTTCTTTGCTGTGGGTCTAAATTTATTTATATGCATATTTATGAAATACAGTAGGGAACCGATTATGCGGAACGATCGGGACCATCGCTATTCCGGATAACTGATTTTTCCGGTTTTCTGAATCGCTACACAAAGCCGTTTTTTTTATCGTTAAACCCAACTAAAAAAATATATATATTTGGAAATTATCTTAAAAAGAAGAAAAAACGATGAAGTAATACACTAATGATTATTTCTAAACTGATGGTAAGGTAAACATCTTTCAAAAAAGAAAGAAAATTCCTAAAATCTTATGAAGAAAAAAACATCTTTTTAAAAAAAATCGCGGGAAAATTTATCGAATTTCGTTCCGGTTTTTTGGTTTTCTGATTTCCGGATAACGTGTTTTGTACTGTATTTCAATTTTTTTTTCAGTTTTATCTTTTTAAATTCCAGAAATTGATTAAATCTATTTCTTTGCTGTGGGTCTAAATTTATTTATATGCATATTTATGAAATATAAAGTCATGATAATATAAAATATTTAGACTCTTAGGTGCTGAGATGTTTGTGTTGAAGTATATTTTCTGTGATTGTTGGTATAATTTATTAGTGATACTTCATTTTGTGATATGTTTCTGCAACCAATAGCTCATTGTATAGTATGTGCATAAGATCACACAAAACTGCCTCACTACAGAATGTACATAGTGTAATTAAATTATTTAACTAATTAAAAGAGGTTGGTTGTAAACTCAAACGTGTGGCAGAGTTCCTTATTTTGTGGCAATAACAAAGGGAGATTTGTCTTGAAGAAAATTATAAGGCGTTTATTTTTGCAGGGTTGCCATTTTTAGGGAATTTTTCTCTGGAAAAATTTTAGACTAATTTGTGAGTAAAACTAGTCCCAAATATTTTTGTTTTGAAAGGAAGCATCAGGTTGTGTATGTAATTAAATTGCTTTTTTGATTGTGTGTGTTAGAATACAAACGCAGAATCTTACAAAAGAAAATATTTTAAATTAAAAAAAAACCTCTCTAATTGATAATTATTATTAATTCCTTAATTTAAATTTAATAACAGTGCAAGTTGGATTTGTTTGTAAAGACTTGTTAGTGAGATTTAATTAAATTATTGGACTAACTTTTGTCTCATTATAGTTGTAGTAACAATTATTGGAATAATTTAGCATATCACTTTTGTTAATAATTATATACTAAAGACCTAAAAAATAAATAGGACAATTGTTTTTATTTGTTATTGCTTTTATAGACAATTTCTTGTGAATAATTTGTTTTCTCATTGCAATTAATTCCTTTTCTTCTAAGCATTTCTCCAATAATCAATATAGTTAGCATTATCAACTCTGTTAAATAACATCTCTCCTTGTATCCTTCTCAAATTCTAGCTTTTTTTTCTTCATTTTTACGAATAAAATTTTATCTAAAAACTGTTCAGTTTTGTTTTAGTTCTTAGAATATTTGTGTGTAAGTTTAAGAATCATTTGTTAAATGTATAATTATATTTTAATTGCTTGAATTGCTAGTCTTTATTTATAGTGTAAAGATTTTTAAGTGGGAACAATGGCAACCCTGTGGCTGGAGTTTTCTCATTTTTTTGAGCTGGTTTTGTGTACCTTACTTAATGAACAATATTTGTAATTATTTTAAATGGTTATTACTATGTAAGTCAGTATGGTTCTAAGCACAAATGTTAGATTAAATCTGCCAAGAAAGTGTTTCATGTGTACTGTACAAGTTTATATATATATATTTTTAATAAAATACTTCATGTTACTTGTATTAATTTCTTTTTTTTATATGAAACTAGGATGTCGTTTTAATAACGTTACATATTGAGGGAGGTTGAATATGAGTCTTAGCAACCGTATAGAATTAGATGCATACTTTAAATAGATTAGACACTAATATCTAAACAATTGATTAAATTTTCAATTTCAATGGTAAAGAAGAAATCAAAAGCTTCAGAATTGTTGTTTCAAAAGCTAATTTTTATAAATAGATTTAGCATTTTTTAACTGATTTTCTTTTAAAGTGAAACAAACAGAATTTAGATCATAAAATGTTACTCGATTTCAAATACAGTGCCCGCCGTTTATTAAAATCACTTTCGTTTTATGCTCTTTTGATTTTATTAAGAGGCGATTCAACATTTGAAAAAAAAATCAAATTTTTTTGCATTCTAAATGCACACACTTTAAAAGCTGAAATAATGACAACATTAATGTTTTATTTTAACTAATTTAATTATTTTAATAAAGTAGAACCCTACATAAGATTAAATTTACAAAATTTTTGCAAATAACCGATCAATGGTTGCTTGAGTTGCAGTATTTGAAATTAACTTTTCAACATCATTTGAGAGTTTATAGAAGTTTTTATAGTTTTCGATATTTCCTCCTCTTTGTTATAAAGCTTGCCGCAATGCATTAAGTGTTTTTCTGACTTCCATTGAAGATGGCACTGGTGTGTTTATGTCATCTTCTGAGTCTGATTCCACCATTTCTTGATTGAAAATAACTTTGCAATTTTTAATGTCTGTAACAATTTCAGAATCAGATTTTTCTCATGATATTTGCAGGTTATCCTCAATAGCTATGGAACATGCGCACAGTTTTTTGAAATCTATTCATGTTCTCTGTTAAGATAGATAACAAATGAAACTTCTCTCCCTTCTATGGTTCATTCAATAAAAAGTAAGATAAGAATTCGACCCCCTGTTGAATGAGATAGGTTTCTCCAAACTTCATTCAAGTCAAGGAATTGACATTGATTTCTATGAACTCGCCGCTTACCACCCACATTTTTCCTTAACTCTTACACTATGAATATCGCAGAAAAATGCTAACCACACCAGTTTCACAGGCTTTTGAGTAACTGTTGCTTCTTCTAAAAAAATCCTTAAACTTCGAAAAAATAAAATTTTATAAATAAGAACAAAAGAAGCTGAAATATTGCACTTTTGATTTATTATGTAGTCAAAATTTTGATTTTAAAAAGCGGCGGCATTGATTTTATTAAAGGATGCTTTTAACATGTATTAATATTGTAACGATTCGGTTCTTGCCGATTTGATTTTATAAAGCGGCTGATTTTATTATCCAGTGATTTTATTAGCGGCGGGCACTATTGTGATTGTATATAATCACATTAATTTAATTGTGTTTATAAATTAAGTAACTCATGCTATTAAATGGTTTTTATTGAACAAAAATATTAAGCGATGTTTAAAAACATGCTTTGTAATTTAAAAACAAGTGTGCTTAAATTCTTAGTATATTTTTAGAAGAAAAATCAGTTCTAAAGCTTATGGATTTAGCCTTTGAAAATAAAAAAATTTAATTTTCCGGTGTCAAATTTTCATTCTATGTCATTAATAGTATAATGACGATGCAAGCATAACTATGCCAGAAAGTAGAATGTTTTTTTTTTTTTTTAATTTGTTAAAAATGAACAGTATTTGTACAGCTCACTTTTTATGTTTTGTCTTTTGCAATCTCTCGGTTGTCAAGCAAGAGGCAAAATCTTGCCATTTTCCAGTATTATGATTTAGGCAGAATAGTTGAACATTTTCAAGGAAAATATTTCAGAAATTTTGACTGATCTGAAACTAAATTTCCAATTAGATTCAGAAGTTTAGGTCCTTCTTATCTGAATTCTTCGGCTTGGTGGACACTCTTGGGGCCAAAAAAATGTTTGTGAGAATATTACACTAATAACGAAAGCTGAGGTCATAAATTGATTTTATAATAATTGCAACAATATAGAAATAATTAAATTATCTATGACTTGCTATTTACACTTTAAAAATTATGTTTACAGAACGAAATGAATAGATGATAGGTAGGTACTTTACGTCACACTAGAGCTGCACAATGGGCTTTTGGCGACGGTCTGGGAAACATCCATGAGGATTATCTCGAGATGAATAAATAAAGTTTGATTTATATTAATCTAGTAGAAAAGAAAGATTTGATAGAAGGCTCTAGTCCTAAATCACTTCCCCGGTCAATTCCAATCAATATAGTTGCACCCCCACCAATTACAAGATACTTCCTTAATGAAAAACTAGGCAATACCTACCTCTACGTTTCTATCATGGTGCGTAGCGTTTTTAAAAAGTACTTCTTTTCCTTTTTAAAAAGCCCTTAGAGGTGTTTTTAAAAAGTGCTTGATTTTTTTTCTTTTCGAAAATGAGATTTTCTTTACCCTGTCGATTTTCGGCACGCAATATGCATAGGCGTGCTTTTCACATAGTTCTATTCAACATTTTCACGATTCATTAAATTTTTTTTTCGGCCTTCCGTCGGTCCATAGCATATGAAAGAGGCAATAATTATTTACAGGTTTGATGAAATACTTGCGAGTCCGCATGTGCGTCTACTGAGCAGAGTTCGGTAAGATTCTAGCACTCTCATGAGTAACTCTGCTGCATTTTGATAGATATGCTCAATTACTTCATTTCCACCCTCATTTTTCGAATCGAAAATTCTTTCGATCATTTTATGGTGGCTAACATAATTATGAAAAGAGGTCTTTGTCAGAAACTAGTTATTTATCATGATCATGTAAAGTCTTTGAAAATTATTTTACATTTTCTTAATGCATATAGTGCTTAAAAATATTTGAATGCTTATTTTTTGTTGAAAGATATGGCTATGCACCCTGTCTATGGAGTTGTATTCACAATTGATCATTTGTCAAGAGATTTCTGTTAACTTTTATTAACCCAACACTGAGTTAAATAGAGGGATAAATTGTTGAGAAAAGAATTTTCCATGGGGGAAGGGGAATTGAGAGCATTTAATGCATCATTTCAACTTATGAGGATCTCAACTTGTGCTTTCCAGATGAAAATATTTGTAAGAGTGTCCGTAACATAAAGTTTCACTGTAGATTGCTAGTATATTCAGCTGTGGAATGCTAAATCAGGAGAGTAAGCTACTCAGAATTTTGAAAGCTTTTCATAAAATCTTTTTTGTACAAATTACATTTTTTCACTATCATATAGTAAAATTTTTTGCCCAAATTAAAATTCTTCACAATCAAATAGTAAAAATCTTTTTCCCCATATCCTTTAAATGTACAAGAAATCCTTTTCTGATGTGGTTCATAGACTTTGTACAATTAAATAAAAAAACTGAAATTCTAATAGGTTTTCAATTAAAATCTTATACATAAGTGAATATCTTAAAGCGTCGGAGCGCTTTTAGTACATTAGCATGTATTATTTATACTGAACATAATAGTATTAAGATATCAAGTTAAGCATTTACCATTTATGTGGGAAATGTATATATTGTATATTTTAAAAAATAACGATACATTTATTATTTTATCTACAAAATCTGATCCCATTTGTTTTTAAGTAGAGCATTATGAATCCTTCTTGGAGGGAGAAATGAAATTTAATGAACACTGTACTTTACGACTCTTTTTTATTAATGTATATTGGAAACTAGAATTTTGTGAAAATATTCATTAATTTTTATACTTTTCCCATTCATTAAGATTGAAAATAAATAATAGGAGTTTTATTAACTACAGACAGAAATTTTTTTTTTTAAAGATTTTATTTTCACAAATATTTATTTTACATTGGCACAAAAGCTGCACAACTTCAAATAGCTAAAAGAATGTTTTTGTATATATGTAAACATTCAACAATTTTTAAGCAGTACCACCTTTATTAAAAAGACATTAAAATTTTAGTATTCCAACGAACAATCAACATATACACAACAAATCTATTACAAACATACTCGTGATTTTTTTCGTCAAGAAAGTAAAACTGATTGTCAATTACTATTCCTAATTGCAATAACGGACTGTGCTAGAATTACAGACGTCATGACAAAATATATACTTTTATCTTCACCAAATATACATCTGACTTTAATAAATATGTTTCCTCTTAACAAAGTTTTCAACTCCAATAAATTTTTTTTATCATTATAACAAAATAAGTACTTGCAGCTCAAACTTTTCAGATCATATGTTTTTAAAAATAAAATTTAAGAAAATGACTAGAAAGAAGTGTAATTGCACACTTGATGGCAGGTTTTCAGATTATATTTTGCAGGAAGAAAAAAATTGCATAATTCCCAAGATTTAGAAGCTAGTGCATTAAACTAAATAATTATATTTAAAACAGTATGCTTTTTTTCTTAGCTGCAACTAAGCTTAACCAATTTGTTTTCACAAAATACACATATATAAAAGATCTATTTATAAGCATTATGTCTTTAAATGCATTTATTTCAAAAATATTTAATTTTGTATTAAGTACAATTTCATTTTTTTAAAATTTTTTTTTGGATTTTTTAAATTTATACAAAATAGGAATTAATAGCCTCATGTTCAGCCACTTTTACTCAAATCAATTTATATCACATGATTTGGGTTATGAATATTGACAAGAAAGTAATAAAAACAATACATTTCTGAATATTTTTGGTTATAAATTTCTATGCAGTTTATAGCATAATAGAAAGCTAAAATTCATTGAGCAAAAATAAATAAACATAATGAACTGTCATTAATATTTTAAATTAAACCTATATGAGTTATCACATTAAATATAAATTTGAGATCATTGAATACTGAGTTTAAAGAACAAAAGTATTTGATAAGAGATTATATTATATGGTGTATTTAGATTAAAAACAAATGCATAATTAACACGAAGTCTTCAAATTTAAAATACAACAGTGTAACAAAACGAAAAGCGTTTAGCTCATTTTTTTCTTATTACAAAGATAAATTATCAATTTAAAAACGTTAATGGAAAAAAGTAAACTCTACTGGCTCCAAAATAAAAATTGCAAATTAATTAATCATGTTCACTAAATTAACAGGTTAGCTAAATAGAAATATTAAAATTTTTGTTGAAAAGTTTATAATTTTTTTTAAAAATTTAAAACGTAAAATAAAAATTTTTGACGTTAAAAAATGCAATGTAAAAAAAAAATCAATTATTCTTGTTAATCAAATATTTTCATTGAGTATATAAGATAGGAACTTTAAATTTTTTAGGTTTTAAATGAGAAATTAATTTTCCTTAAAACCGTTACCAAAATAATTCTTGTAGGTTTGAAAAAATACACATTAAATATTAAAGTCACATTTATAAATTAAGCTCATTCTAGTGTAAACTCTATGTAAACGACTAAAGAAATGTGGGATTTCTAAATACACTTTGAAAAGTACTCAAGATAGCACTAATTTAAATACATGAGCATTTTGGAAAAAATATATATATCTTTCATATTACAGGCAAATGTGGTTTGTTTAGAAAGAGCATGACAAAACATATTTTTGAAGCTTAATTAGATATATTTAACTTAAAAAAAGCTAAGCTAAAATATTTATGTAATCAACTTAATGTAATTTTTCTAAATTGAATTTTATGCTACAAGTTTTCAATATGAATCTTAACATTAAAGCATATTTTATTCATCAAATATTTTGAAAAAAGTTATAGGATAAATAGGTGTTTGACATATGACCAATTTGAAAAAAAAAATAAAAATAAAAAAAAAGACAAGAAGAAGTATGGTTTGATGTATTCTGCTCAAGAAATTAGACAATTTAGTCATAGGCAATTTCAAAATTAGTTAAAGTTTATCAATAGATGGCGCTCTAGCACAAATTGTTGACAACACAATCTATAAAATATCTTTTTCACAATAACCATTCTTAGCAGCAACAATGTGGTGCAATTTGCGGGCAACATTGGCCGACCACACAAATATTTCAATTGGAACGATCTGACACGTAGCAGAAAACTGTTTTTATAGTTTTCTCCGTCAACAGCACCATTTTAAAATTTTTAAACCTCTTAAGAATGAACCAGTTTCTTGATTCTAATTCTAGTTTTCGAAGTCTTTTGAGCAGAATGCAACAAACCCAATATTTCTACTCCTTTCCTTAAATTTTAATTAGTTATTTTTAATAATAGGTCATTTTTAAAACACCAGGCATAATAATAAAAAAAAGCATAAATCAAATGGCATAATTTTTTCTTTTAAAGTAGACATTGTGTAAAATTTTGCTAACTTGGTCCCATACAACACAAAAATAAGAGTGCAAAGAAACAGAAAAAATGCTATACTTATTTTGCAGATAGATTTTAAAAGTTTGAATAATATAGGAACACTACTACACACCTTAACATAGATTAAAACACTACAAATTGAAAAAACGAACACAAAATATAAATGACATAACTTTTTTAACAGTAAAAAAAAAAAATAATAATAAATGCTTAACTCAACAAATGTGAGAAATTTTTCTTATAAATTGAAACTGACTTTGTAAACATTCAAGCCAAAATTAATAGCTTCAGTAAAAAAAAAAAAAAAAATACTGCCCTGCCAAGTAGCACTTTTTCAATGATATGGTTTCCGACAAGAGACCAGGTTATTCTTTTTTAGGTTTAGGAATAGCAGAAGGAATAACTTTAGAAACAACCTTCTGAACAACTGCTGTTCCTCCAACTGCAGACACAACACCAGTTCCAACAGAGTAAGTTGTTGAAGCAGCCCATTTTACACTTCCTACTCCAATTCCCACAGCACCAGAACCTATATTGTAAAGACCTGACGCTGTTCTCCACATTAAGCCTGCTTCTTGGACTTGCTTTTTAGAAGCTAAAATTATCAATATATTTCATTTTATTTCACAAAAAAAAAAGTTTAATGTTTTACAAGGATTATTTAGAAAGACAATAATTGTCATAAATAAAATAACTTCTACTACAGATTTCAGTCATTCTTTTTTTTACAGGAAAATAGATAATATACTAATTAATCGATTATAACATGCATGGTTTGCTGAAGAGCAAGGACCCAGTCAGGCCTGGATTACCCATTAGGCCTGGCCTGGGGCCCCCAATGATTAGGAGCCCCCTTAATATGGATTTTTCGAAATTTTTTTTAAAAAAATTAAGAAAAACAATGATTTTTTACATTTTTTCAAAATGCTATGATTATTTTTTAGTTCTAATTTAGTAAAATTTCATTTATTATTATTTATTTTAATTTTAAATATGCTTTCTTAAATGAAAAGGTATCGAAATACTTTTATATTTGAATAAATAAAAAATATATGAGAAATTTTTTTTATCTAAGGGCCCCAAAAATTTGAATGGCCTAGGGCCCCGTGTATGCTTAATCCGGTCCTGGACCCAGTGCCGAAAAATTTTCAACATTCCGCTCCAGATAGTAAGCTAAACCATTTAGAAAAAGTATTTTAGTATGTACTTAAATAATTTAGTGTGAATTCCAAGTATTTTAGTATGTACTTAAGATAACACCATACTTTTTTTTAAATTTTCTTTCTCCTCTATAACTATTTTAAAATTTAAAAGAAAGAAAAAGTGATCCCAACCAAATTTAGAGTAAGCCATAAATTTTCAATTGTAGAAAAAAAAATTTAAAAATATCAAACTTATTTCGAAATTACTGGAAGAGAACTTCTCCATTGCATAATCACAAATTATCTTCAATTTATTTACATTTTGATATTTTAAAAATTTCTTTTCAGTATTTGAACTTCATGGCTTACTCTAAGTTTACCTGAACTTACTTTTTCTGTCCTTTAAATTAGTTATAAAGGTGAGAGAGAACTTGCGACGAAAACCGTGCTTTTGAGTTTCAGATTTCAATTTGAAATTTTTATAATAAAAGGATCATAAAAAAAAAAAATACTAAGATGATCATCAGCTCACAGAGAAAATACTAATTTAATTCAAAATTGAGTTATTTGTTCTATCTTATGAAAAGAATTGAATCTAATAAACCCTCCATCACATTTGATCTTAAAATGATCATATTTGATCTATAAATGCATTTTAATGTAATGTTAAGGATAGTTTTTCTACAGCAACTTAGCTATCAGGTCATGGCATTACAGGTCTCTTTAATTACTGTAGCACAGTATGAAATTACTAGAGCTCTGCAGCTTTAGAAAATTCAGATTCTTAATGAAAACACAGCTCCAGAGTGCCTCATCTCCATGTCGCTGATAAAGTGCTTGATGTTATTATTTTTTTTTTAAATAATGAAAGTTCTAGTTTATTTAAGCAATTTTATAAGAAACTTTTTCTCATTAGAATTCATTTATTTAAAATTAATGTGACAAATTCAATTAAAGAAAAGTTATATAATTTTTATTTTAAAAACAATTTATTGTTACATAATTACATGTTACTATATTTTTTAAAGAGTAGAAATTTTCTTTTATAAATATGAATAAAAATATTATTTACTATTTCACACCTGGCATAAATATATTACAGACATACATTTTTACTAGAAATTTTTTAAATAAACTACTAATTAGTTAGTATGCATCAGATGAAGGATGCATTTATTGCAATTGCCGGTCTGTAAAGAAAAAATAAGCTAAAAGCCTCTGAATTTGAAAATTTAATACTCAATATACATGTAATTGAGAACAATATTTGTAATGAAGTTTTTATAATACTATTAATAAAAATTTACAATAAAATATTTACTTTTAAAAATGCATTTTATTTAAGGAAAAAAAAAATGAATATTTAAGTTTTATGACTCAGAATAACTTTTAAAAAGATCGAAACATCAAGACTTTGCCCTTTTCCTCCCAAAACTACAAAGATATATTTTATTAAAAAATTAGAAGACCTACTGTATACTTTATTACACATACACAATGTTCAACATAGAAGACAAGAAGTTCAGCCTCAATGGCTCGTAGTATAACTTTTTTATATGCCAATGTGATTAAACTAATGGCAAGTCATTGACAGTGCATATCAAGAACATGCAATTTTTTTGATTTTTTATTTCAATAATAAATGTTTTTAAATATACCATATCAATTATGAAATATTATAAACTAAACATATTATTAGCATCTCATAAAGAAGAATTGAAATATCCTAATTGTTTTTAATAAGTAAATATCTAAGGCATAAAATATAAAACTTGCTTATAAGAATTTACTTATTAAGTAAACTACATCTTTCATTTGAGATGATCCTGTATGCTTAGTTTCACACATGAAACTGTGAATAATATAACGTAGGAGGCTAATTGAATAATTCAACTCATAGCAAACAATGGTTGTCATTCTGCAATGTTTCAGGGTAATTGTCTCCAGCATTTTCTAATCAAACTGATCTTTTTAGACTTATTACATTGAACCCTCGCATCTTCAAGTTTAATAATAAAAACATCATCCATAACTCTGAAATATTTCAGATAGTCAATGAGAAGCCCAAATTAATGAAAGCTTCCGTAGTAAATAGTCTTATTATGGGTTTACTACAATAAGCCTAAGAAAATTCAGTCTGATTAATTCATAATATAATACTTTATCAGAATAAAAACATATAAGGTAGTAGCAATCTGTCTAAAAAATGTCGGGTAGATTATAATATACTGATGACTTTTCCAGTTATCTTAACTGATTGCAAACTGCCTGTGACATTTACGAACAGCCAAATTTCTTAACTTGCCTATAATTTATACAGTAAACTCAACCATTATTTTATTCCAGTAGTTAGCAGGAGAAAACAAGTCATCTTACAGTATTTGAGTTAACCATTAGATATTCCACAACCAAATTTTGGTACATTTTTTAATGTGTTCTACATTCTTTTTGATACATTATTTTAAGAAAAAATTAACAAATAGTTATAATAAAAATAAAATATCTAGAGAAAAGATAATTTAGTTACTGGTCAAACAGTATGAAATATTCCAAACTTATTAGTGAACTGATTTTTTTAGATTCTTCAACTAAAATAATTAAATAATAACAATAATAATAATAAAAAAACTGTAATAAAAAATATTTCATTAAGTCATTTATTTTGTATAGATTTTCTCTTCAGCTCTCAATTCATTTTTAGTTGTTCAGAATTTTTGTTATATACTCATTTTTAATTAAATAATAAGAGAGAAACCATTTTTTTGTTACAGAAAAGCAATCAGCAAACATCTGGGACTAACACACAGAGGGATAAAGAGAATAAAAAATTATTTTTAAAAATTAGATTCATACCATCTTCAGATGGAGATGGTTTGTTTTCATCTTTAACATCCCCATTATTTTCATCCATGTTTTGTCCCTAGAAAGATACATCTCATGCAATTAGGCAATACATTATAGTTAGATTTTATTCAATTTGTAATTCCAATAAAAAATAGACATAGAGTAAGCAATATCTAGCATCTGGTCACTTCAACAACTAAATATTTAGCATTTTTTAAAAATACTTTCCAATTTTTTCTTTTAAAAATACTGAATTTTTGAAGAATGGTCATAGAGTATAGACAAATATAGTAAAAATAGCAATTGTCAAAATAAATAATAAAACTCATACTTTAATGAAAGGAAAAAACTAAGTTTTATTTTAAAAAGAAATTTTTAACAAATGGTTGGTTAAATCATTGTTTTGTTTCTGGTTTAATATCAAAGTTTTAAAAAAATTTCCTGGTGATATTTGGTATTAAAACTGAGAGGCACCAAAGAGATTCTAAACTTGCAAAAGTTATAAGAAACTATATGCAGAAATTTGAAAAGGAATGGTTATCTTCGAATTCATAAGTAGACATTTTTCGAAATGTGTTAATGCCTCTAAATTACAGACATTCATGAATACCTAAAAGATAAAGTTTAAAGAACTTCTTACAAATAGAAAAACATCTTTATAATTTTTTTTAAAATACTAAATAAAAATTTATAAATAAAAAAACATTTAACTATGAATTGATTCTTTTTGGAAAATAAAAAAGAAATACTTTAATTTAAAACGCTGCCATTATTTCTTAATTGTTGAAACAAACTAAAATAACATACAGAAAAGAAGAAAAAAACATATTGACCATAAAATTTAGTATTCTAGATAAAAAAAAAAAAGATAATACAATAAACCTTAACTATATCGTAAATAAAATTAATATTTATAGACTGTGCAATGGAAATTTACTGAGATGAGAAAAGCATAAAAGTATTCCCAAGAACTAGCTAATATTCTATTATAACTTTTTTATAGGGAAAAAAATCAATAAATCATCTATTTTGTAAAACATGTAATTTGTATTATAATAAAGTTGTCTTTTGCAAAAAAATGAATTTTTACCAAAGGTATTTTAGTGATTTAGTCTTATTTATTTTAGTAATTTAGTCTTATCAGCTTATTGGTATAGATTTATAGCAAACATAATATAAAATTTTGCTTTTCTTAAGTCTCAAATTTGCAAGAATAAAAAACAACAAAGAACTGATAGTTTGGTCAAATGATGTAGTTGAATAAGCATTATAACGAGATTTAATAAATGAAAAAAATACTTTATAACAAAATTCTAGTTTATTGAGAAAATAAGTCAACATTTGTTTGCAATATTTTCATTGAATTGCATTTAATAAAAACAGATAGCTCAGAAGAATGCTACTACGATGGAAGGTTTTATAGGAACTCATTCAATAGCAAAACGTATGCATACTCACTTTTTTTAAACAAGCAGTAATGGGTTGCAAAACTTTTGCCATCGACAAGGATTTAAGAACTAAAGCTAAAGGTTTTACTGAAATAAAACTCAACTAAACGGCTGTCAAAATTGAAGTTGACACTGACACGTTTATGATATTTGATTAAAAGACGCACAGCATAAAATGTACAAAGTACGAACATGAGGTTTTTTTTCCTTTTTATTATAATGAATTACATACGTGGAAACCGTATTGTTGCTAATGTAAACAACAGTATCACTGGTGAAAAAACGCGCCAAATAAATAGTAAAAATTGCAAAAATAATTGTATCTATAAGTTCGAATTTGGTACTAGTATAAATATAAATGTGTTTTTAAAATGCGTCAGTAATATTATCAGTCATTAAATGTTGCAAAAGTATAAAATTACAATTCAATTTTAAAAATAAAATAAAAAAGATATTTGTTCTTGCCAATTTAAGCAATCACGTTGCCAGATCATGTGGATAAGACTTTTACTTTTATATGGCAACCCCCTAAAAAACGAAAACAAGAACTAAAAAAAGTACACTTAAAATACTCGCAAAAATAAGAAGGTTGGTGGCAGAATTGCTCTTTTGCAATAGATATTTAAAATAAAATATTGCTACTATAAATATTTTGCTTTTTGAGAGCACCTTGTCTTATATTCTGGAGCTTTTTGACTCACGAAGATTGCGCATACATTGAGTTTTTGAGTCGCGTGTGAATCAATAGGAATTATATTAATTGCATAAAATAAATAAGAATGATAAGAAAAATAATATTAATCGCATATAAAGAAACTATATATTAATCATTAGCAAATGTCAATAATAGTTTTAGATAGAAAAGTGTTAGTTTCTGTTTACATAAGTCGTTCACAAAATATATCTGGCAACGAATCAGCTGTGTTGGTAAAATTTGTGATTGCATGTTGACGTCATTTATTTTTAGCCTTTAGAAATATAACAAAATGAAAATTTGCTTTTTTTTCTGACTTTAGATATGCTTTAAAAAACTTACATTTAGATCGTCATCTTAAATCAAGAATTTAGTGAATGTATTTATGCGTTAAGCTAAATTATTAAAAATGGACATCGACAGAGATCTTGATGCTGGTCTATTGCAGCAATTCAGCTGCTTGGGAACAACAGATAGAGAAGTCCTCATTTCGCAGCTTCAAAAACTTTTAGGAGATCAATTGAATCCTGCTGGATGTGCTTTCTTTCTGGACATGAATAATTGGTTTGTTTCAATGAATGCATCTTTTAACAAATTAAATTCGCATAATTTTGTTTTCTTTTTTTGCGTAAAATTAAAAATTAATTTGTTTTGTGAATAGATTAAATTTTGCCTAAATAGTTTTTTAAAAATACATTTATTTTTGCATTATAATTACTCTATTTTTTCATATTTTTTAATTTTTGAATTATGTTTCTTCTTTTCTTTTATGAATGAGTTGTTCTGCGTACCACTCAAACGATAGTCTAATACCTTATTTTAAATATTTTTTGTCTTATATAAATATTTAATTGATATTTCGAGAAAAATTAGCAATTGAGTGCCCCTCCTATTTTGCCGATATTTTTTTCATGTACATACAGAAAAATGGACTACTAAGTTAAAATTTTTTATTAAGATATCAATATAAATAATTGGAAAATGAAAGATTTTGTACTCAGTAAAAGCTCTAAGGTGCAGTGCTCAATATAAGTGGCACTCGATTCTATACTCTAATAGAAATCTCTTCCATTTTGATTATTTCTAGCAATATTTAATTCTTGCCAAGGTGAAAATAGTGCCCTTTTTGAAAGCCATAATTTCTTGTTATAGTAACAATTAGTTGAATACCTGTTCTTAGTTCGATAAGAAAATAAAATAGAATCAATCAACACTACCAAATCATGTAATCTGAATGATGAATAATAAAGTTAAAATAATTCCAATGTTTTTTATTTATTATTTATTACTCTTCATGAGGCTTTACATTATTAGATTAAATGAAACTCTTATTTAGTAGTTCATGCCATTAGAAAATAGGGAAAATTACAGAGAAGTGGAGTTTTCTAATAATAAGAGATTGACACTTGACAGAGAAATTATAGAAAAATGGAACATTTTGTGTATTGTTAAGTCAGCAAAGTGCAGTGCACAATGTAAGGGGTACTCTACATTCTAATTAAAAAAAAATTTCCATGATTTTTAGCAATATTTAATTGTTGCTGAGAAAATTTTTTATCTTTTTTAAAAATCATGTTTTCTTGTTATATTATCAACTATAACAAGAAAACCGTATACTCGACTGTTCTTTGAACCATATTTTTAACAGATTTTGAACTTTTATCACCACTGTTAAAATTTTAGGTTTTAAAGCTGAATTCACTTGCTCTACTCATTAGCAAATATTTTTTGAACTTATTGTTATATTTTATGATATAACTACTTATGCTTAATTAAAAGAAAAGGAATAATAATTCTTGTGTTTACATTAAGAACTGCATCAATTCGTAATAGCTTATTTAATTAAATATAAACATATGCTTTTGCTTACATTAAGATCTTTATTTTATATGTTAACTTATTTAATTAAATATTTACATTTTATGAAACTTTGTTCTGAAAACTTTAAACATAAATATTGTAACAAAAATATTTCAGAATAAAAACACCATATTCATAATAATTGCTGGACTCATTTTTACTAAAATTGGCTAACTTCTGTGGATATTTCATTAACTCACTCAATTAATGGGGCAAACATTTAAAATAGGAGACAAATTCTGTAGCACAGAGTTAGTGAAACATGTTAACAGCCAGGGTTGGCAAGATTTTGCCGCAGGTGGAAAAAACCATGGTAAATACCGGTAAAAACCGTCCTGGCAAAAACCTATATTTTCCAAGATGAGAGGACAAAAACACATTTTTGATACAAAATTATTCCTAAAATTGAAATATATACTATGAATATAAATAATTACAAAAAAATTAACAAAACTATTATTCCATAATTAAATGATAATGTATCATTTTAGTAGTTTAAAACATTATTGATTGGAAAATTTGTGATTATTCTCTTTTTTCCAGTGAAATGAACTTATTTTAAATTAATACAAATATAATTTAAAGCATAAAATATCTATCAACATGTGTAGTTAATTATTGTACAAATAATAATTTTTTATAATAAATAATAGTATTATACAAATAATAATATTTATTTGTAAAAAAACATTTATTTTAGGATTCTAAAATGAAAAGAGATCAAAAACTTTCAATCTTTTAAAAATTATTACCCTTAGGTATATTTATTAATATGTTAAAAATAATTTTTCATGTAATGTGTCAAAATTATTATTCCTTACGATTGATTTAAATTTGTTTCAAGTATTTTGTAATAATATTTAATCAGCAATTTAGATAATTTGGTTTTTGCCGGTTTTTACCAGTTTTTGCCGGTTTTTGCCACTGTCCTGGCAAAAACCCCTTTTTGCTGGCAAAAACTCCAACCCTGTTAACAGCTATTCAAACTTTTTCCCTCTACATGAAGAATTGAGATTTTTCTTTTTTTTACTGGTAATGTCTTCCTTCATTTTTTATGTAAACAAAAGATTCAGAGCTAAATAAATTTTTTAATAAAAATCTTTCATTTCTAATGTAAATTATCATAAACTAGAATTGTGCTTACTACTCTATTGTATGTTATAATTTTTTTAATTGAAATAGCATTCATTGAAATGCATAGGTGAACTGAGAATCTGACTAGGGAAATTAATATGTGGTCAAACTAGATTCTTTAAGAATAAAGATTTGAAAATAGTGAATGGGATATTATTAAATACACTTTATTTAATAATACCTACTATTTGGGGGATATTTCAATCTTGGTATCTGTCCAGAAGTCAGGGTTATGATTTTACCCAATCGATTTTTCAATTGTTTATATTTTATAATAAGTTAAAATACAGCTACTAGCATAGAAATATTTAAATTTCCATTACTTCTATATTCTGTGCTTTGAAATTTTTAATTAATCTTGTTAAAAACACTAATTGGAAATTGCAAAAAATTTTCACAAAATTTGAGATATTAATTCACAAAATAATTTAAACTAATTTTATAACAAGATATAATGTTTAGAGTTTCAATTCAATAAGATGTTGAAGTATTTTTTGAATAATATTTCCTCTACAATGATATTTTTAAAATAGGACACCTCATACCTACTAATTGGGGAAATACTTGTTTTTGGATTCTTGTTCTAATGGATTCTTGTTTTTGGATTCTTATTCTGATTTTTTGATGTTGAAATTCTAGAGATTATTCTAGAAGCCCTGTTTCAGTGTATGTAACATAGGACGCAATAACATAGTTGGAAAAGTATTGTAATGCAACATTGCATATATATTTCATGTTAAAAATTAATGTCTTTCATTTGAATTAAAATAAATAATTTATTTCTTCAATTGAACATTTAGTAGTTTTTCATAATTCTACTATAATTAAAATTCTACAAATAATTAGACTCTACTACTAACTTTAAAATAATTAGTTCTAATTTATCAACATTAATGACATTTGTAATAAAATGTGGTTAAAGTTATGGTTATTAATGGCTTGATTATTAATTAAATTAATGGTATATGGGTGATTCTCAGGAAATAGGACAATTCACTGTCCCTTGCTCCAAGATCTTATAATACTATAAGAACTTTTTTTTAAAAAAAATTAATAAATAGCATTGCTGTTAGCATTTTAAAATGACTTTGCGCTAGCATTGACTGTTTTGTATAGTTAAAAAATTTAATTGAACTTCAAAATTTTATGTTTCTGGCATGTCACAAACAATGTTTCCAATAATAACTAGCTTCAAAACTTCCCATAAATTTTTCAGTATCTAATTATTTTTTTTTTCTTAACCAGTGTAAGCATTTCAAAAATATACGCAGAGGGTATTATTTACAAAAACATCGTTTAAAAAAAAAAATTCTGTCAAGAATTTGTTTGTCACAAGAAAATCTCATTTTCGTGGCTACTTTTTTTTAGTGGTTTATAACCAATATAGATAGGGCCAGAAATCAATATCTTATGTTAATAGATTGATTAGATACTGTCCTATATGAACATGTCTTGTTGCATGAATAAAAAACCAATTTTCTGGTTCAAAATCTATTTCAAAAATTTTTTCAAGGTGAGTAGGTTTTTGGGTTGTCATTTTCCTGACTTCTCGAAATCATTAATAACATAAACTACATAGATTTATCTGAGTTATTTTAAGTAATTTTGTTGTTTTCTGCAGAATATCTAGGTCGCCATAGGCCAAAATAAAATGGTGAATTTGTCATTTTCCTGGCTTATGAATGCCAGGACATTGAAGTGTTACCAGAATTTTTTTTTAACTACTAATACTGTAAGGAGGGAAAGCAAATATTAACATAATACCAAGTTTATGTATGATTGTAATATGTTTGGATGTAATCAAAGTTATTTATTTAATGATTGATTATTATACACAATTTTATTCTTTTCATATCAGCTACAAAAAAAATTTTGATTCTTTCTACTGTGGATAAAAAGAATTAAGCAATTTAGGGTCTATCTAACATAAAGGCTTAAGTTGAGTTACTTACTATTTACTTAAAATGACTGTTTTTTAAACTTCTGTATGTCATTTTCCTGGCATTCAAGATATGGTGAATTTCTATTTTATTTTTTTTCTCAAGCAAATGTCAGTAAACTACACTGCTGTCTGTAAGATATTAATAAGTGTATCTAAAGAAGTAATACAAAAAAATAATTTAGATTATTTTGAAGACTTTAAATTTGAAATTTTTTTTTGGCCCGAATTGTCATGTTTAAAAAGAATCACCCATATATTAATGCAGTAAGATTTATCTAAGACTTTAAAGAATAAAAAAATGGTGAAAAACTAATCATTTTTTTGATGAATCAAATCTTGAAATGATGAAAAACTTATTGTCAGAAAAAAAATCCTAATTAAACCTTGAAAAAAACAATGAAACTCAGTGGGTTGGGTTTCTTCTGAAAAAACCTATTTTTTTTGCAACCATGTTTGCAATTTTTATTACCATGTTCATTTTTTTTTAAACAAAAGTTTCATGCACTAAAAAATAGGGATCCATTCTCAAGATTTGCCAGACGTGAATGAGAAAAACAAAAGTAACCTGAAAAAATCTGTATCTAAAGAAAAATGGAAAATAAAAGTGAAAAACAAATGTAGAAAAACTGTGTTTAGCTTGCAATGAAACCGAGAATGAATATGTTGTCAATCCAACCTTGGTTAACAACATATTCATTCTCGGTTTCATCGGACAAAACAAACACGCTTTAAAATTTTGACTAACTAAAGGAACATAGTGGATGAGTCCACTATCAAGAGTGTGGTAAATCATCTATTGCTGTTGTGCATTTTTGGAATCTTAAGGGATAAATTTAATACATTGTCGACTTCAGTTGCATCAGATAAACCAGGCATTTAAAATTTTGACTAAGAGAATATAATAGATACATCCATTATTAAAATTGCAGTAAATCATCTATTGCTTAGCAATGGATTTCTCAGAACTTTGTGATCGACAAATATTTCTTGTCGACCACATAGTCGTTTAAGATTATCTTAAAGTTCGCTTCCTGCTACAGCGATATTATTTTACTATTTTTGGGGGATAATGCCAAATATATATAGCTTTCTAGCATCCAAATTTATTTGCCTAATTTTTTCGAAATTTCGTCTACCCCTATATTTAGAGGATTAGGAATCCAAATATGTAAAAATAATCTATGAATATTCAGAGAAAGTACATTTTTGTGTCTGATTTTGTAACTTGATTAATAGTTAGTACTAATTAATTAGCATATTGGAGGTCACTCCCTTGAACCATTAGAATTGACATTTAATATGTAAAAATCGGATCATTAAAACTAAAGTTATTATGAGTGATATCTTTTTTAGTTTTGCGTACTGTACATGGAGAAAAAGAATTGAAAATTTTATAATAAAATATATGTCATGAATTCAAGGACTTGAGAATAAAATAATATCTGTCTAGAAAAGTTAAAAAAAAAATTCTGAGTTAAAGAACTGATGGTTTTGATTTTTCGTTATAGTTTATTGAAGAATCATTCACTAATAAATTTTTGCAGTGTTTTTTTTTTTTCTTCTTTTTTTTCAACTAAGTTGAGGTTTCTATGTCCAGTTTTGCTGCCTAAGTCCTTCATATTTACATTGCTTAAAAATAGTTTTAACTTCATGCAGTGTTAGATGAAAGATTATCTTGTTAGATGAAAATTTGCTAACTAATAACATTCTAGTGTAAAATAATTTTAACATTTGTTGAAGCAGGGCGACCTTTTGATCTACTTGTATTAAAATATATCAGTTCTCTCGTTGAAAGTTTAAAAAAGTGTTTGTAAATTTTTTTTTTAATTCCAGGTTTCTTCTTATGTCTGTCTTGTGTCGCTCAGCAATAATAATAATTTTAAAAAAATTCTGAATGTTTATTTTATTTTATAATTTATTACTCTGAATTTGATATTTTTCACTCTATGAGACGTCATTTCAATAAAAATATATAGTTAAAAAATTTCCTGGACCAAAATTAGGCTTCGTATAATTGTTTCTCAAGTAATTTTATTTCACTTGTTTTACTTGTTCTTTAATTTATGCCTGATGTAAACCAAAATTCATGATTTTTTTTGATTTATAAAATTTTTATTTTTATTTTATTTAAATTGGATGTTTTTGATTTTTATTCAAATGCACTGTAAGAACTTTGATTTATGATTAAAAAAACTTTATAAATGTTTAATCAAAATTAAATTAATATTAAAACTATATTAGACAATATTTAAGAAGCTGTAGCTACCTATAAAATTTTTTTATTATAATGCATAACTTTGAATGCATAGCAACCATTTTGAAGCAAATGCATAATTGAAATTTAAAGACTAGATGAAATAGAGAGTGTAAAGAATACTTTAACTATTAAAACAAAGTTTCAATTAGCAATTCATAATTTTAATTTAAAATTGTGAATTCTTTTTTTTTTTCTCTTTAAAATGACAAAATAAATGTAACAGATTTTGTTTCAAAAAATAAATAAATATTTAATCTATATAATTTTATATTAAAATATTCATTTTTAATTCGATATCAAAATCGATAAGTTAAGCTAAAAAATTTTTAAAAAAAATCTATGTACTCATTGGAATTTTTTTCACAAAATTTCTTTATAGAAAATATGTCAAAGATACTATAAACATATTATGAGAAAAAAATACTTATTGATAAAAGAGACAGCACACTAATTCTGGGTTATTTAATTTAATAGAATGACACTATATCAGAAAAAAAATATCTGAATTCATCAGCATTTTTTTCCTTTCTATGTTTGGCATATTAAGGTAATTTCTTTTTAATGTAACTTCAAGCTTTAGAAATATGCATTTTCCACCAATAAAATGTAATGTAGATTTTAATTCTTTTTCAATCAAAAGGTAGAATTTTAATTAGCATTATTTGTATTTTTTTGTGAAAAAAATTCATGTTTATTAATTACTTTCTACAGCTATGCAAGTCAATATTAGACAGCATTAAATGTTTACTTTAATCAGTACTTTCAATCTCAGCAATCAAAAGATTTTTAAAAATGTTATTCCAAATGTGTTGGAATTTAACACACACCAAGAAAGAAAGTAATTTTGTTAACTACAATTAATAATGCAGCAATTTATTTAAAATAAATTTTAAAACTAAGAAAATAAAAATAAAAAAAGTATAAATGATTTAAAACACTGTTTTTTTACTTTTTAAATCAATATATATATATATATATATATATATATATAAAATCAGTTGATTTAAATCATTGATTATTTTAAAAAAATCATTTAATTTAAATCAAGCTGATTTAAATCCCTGTTATAAACAAGAGCAAACCCTGTTATAAACACATTCTATACAGTTGCATTTAATGATTCAGTGTTTTGCTAGAAATTACTAACTATATTATTTAACATTCCAGGAATTTACAAGCTGCCGTTTGTTCATATTTTGACTTTGATTCACCAAAGGATAAGTTACCCAGAATGGCATTTGTTAGAGATGTCACCATTGGTGAAGGAGAAGCAGTTCCACCTAATATGAAATTTGTAAAAACTTGGAAGATTCAAAATCCTAGTAAGTTAGTAGGGATATTATTTGTTATGTATTTGCGCCCTTTTTTTCCCCTTCACTAACGGTTAAGGAATTTCCCGGTTTTGATTAGTAGTGGATTTTCATGTTAACTTGTAAGTGATGTGCAAAATCAATTAATTACATATTGTGATTTATACTCAGTCGTATAAAAATTCACACATCATGATTCATATTTGCGTGACTTAAAGATCTCTCATGCGATTTTTTTGAAGCAATTAAAAAAATTAATGATTGCAATTCATATTAACGCAATTTTTAAATCTTTAATTGCGAGTTGTATTCTTTTAATTTAAAAACTGCACATCGTGATTCTTAGCCATCCAAATTATAAATTACACACTATGATTCTTATTCTTGCAATAAAAATTTACATATTGCATTTCATTTTCCGTATTTCAAATTTAACAAGTTAACTTGATTTTAAAATGTTGGCAATACCAATTCTATGGATTAAGAGGAAAAAAAAGTTAGTTCTGTAAATAGCCTACTTATAGTTCAGAACATAACATTTAAATTCGATGTTCACACAGATAATCAAAAAATATTAATTTTTGTATCATTTTCCTGAATCTATTTTTTTCTTTTTCTTTTATTACTTAGGAATGGTCCAAATGTCTGTCAAGAATTGAGATATTTTTATTTCCTTTAAACAATAAAGCTTACAATTTTAATAATTTATTCATTTATACTTAATGTAAGTTTTAAAATTTCATAAAATAAGACATATAACAATTCTTTATTTCTGGAAATTAAAATGAAATTTATAATTTTATGATAAAGCAGAAATTAACCTCAATCGATTAATATATTTTTCCTTTTACATACTTTTTTCTTGAAAATTTCATTTTTTGTTCAGGAAACCGCAGTTAACCCTGATTATATTTGGTTGCCAAAAAAATTTACTTAATTGGAATTATGTTTGAAAAAAATTAAAGACCAAAACATGTAAATTAAGTTTTATGCACCTGATTTTTATTGTAAAATGTAAGGAGTATGATTCACTCTCAGAACATCCAGTATTAATTTTAGATTAAAATGCTTCAATTTTTCGGATATAACACTCGTTTTTTAGATATGCATTTCAAGCATTATAAAATCAATTTGTTTATAAATTTTAACTGCTGTAATTAATTTTCAAAATTAATTCTAATTTCATAAAAAAATTATACGAATTAATATTCTGATGTATTTAAATTTTTTCAATAAAATATATCACTTTCCAGTTCCAGAAATTCTTTGGAATAATTGCATGAAATCTGTTCATTTGATTAAGGATTACTTAGTTATTTTTTCTTTCGTTTTTTTTCCGCTGATTGTAACAATTTTTTTCTTCATTCATTTAAAGAATAAATAAATAAATATTTTATTAAGTAAATATTAAATAAATAAATATTTCATTTAACTAAAGGTGATGAGCGATGGCCTCCAGGATGCTGTTTACGCTTTACATCTGGTGATCAAATGGGTCTCACAGAGAGAGTTTTAGTTGAGGCATTAGGACCTCATGAACTGACAGATGTATCTGTTCAAATGACAAGTCCTCAAGCACCTGGAATGTATCAAGGGCAATGGAGAATGAGTACTGCTACAGGACAGTTTTTTGGAGGCAAGTAATTTCTTCTATTGAAAGTTGAATTATTTGTTATAAATATCTTTCCTTTGTTCTTTTCCAAGCTTATAGCATATATTTTAATCTGAAGTTGTCATAATTATTTTTCTAGCTTTCTAAATTATATTACATTTTCTCATTAAAATTCCTAAGTTTTCAGATACGTGATGCTCATTTTTTGAAATCAAAGATCCAAATGAGGTATTGCTAAGTTCCATTGTATGACACTTTATCTCTCTTCTGGATATGTGCGATCCTAGAAAGCAATCGATTTCAACAATGCATGAAATTTGTCATAGAAAGTCATGATTTTCATTGAAAAAAATGGTGCAAAATCTAAGTAACTGCCAGTTCATCATGGATTTGAGATCAATAATCTTACTTAAGCTAGTTTTTATTCATTCATAATTTAAGTACAAAATGGGTGTCACTCCCCCCATCATAACATTGTTGCATTTGTTTTTCTATTTATTTCAATATAACAACTTTGGGCTAAGTTCTGTAAAATCTTATTCTGGTTATTTCTTTTCAAATAGTATTTGAAAGAAGTTGCAATTTATTTACCTTTTTATTTATTAGCGTGATTTTGATTGATTCATGTCGGGAGAAAATTTTATTCGTTTTTCAATTCATGTCACTTGAATTAGTTATTAATTGTTATTTAAGTGTTATTTTGTGTATTGTTTTTATTAGCATGGTTTCGACCATCATAGCGAGAACTATTAGTTTAACACTATTGTGTTTCATTTTCAATTCATTTTCAATGTAATGAATTATTTAGTGCTAATCTTATTCTGCTCATTTCTTCTTTTATAAATATTGTTTTAAAGAAGTTGCACTTTATTTACCCATGTATTTAATAGTATGATCTTGATTGATTCATAGCATGACAACATTGACATATTCCATTTCATTTCACTTGAATTTAGAATAAATTGTTATTTTATGTTTTTTTGTATATATTTTTATTAGTATAATTTCGATAAATTTGTTATGAGGAAAATTAGTATAACATTGTCATGTTCATTTTTCAATATAATGAATTGTTTAGTGCTAATTTTATTCTGCTACTTTTTTCTTTTATAAATATTGTTTGTTATGAGATGAAATTTATTTGTGTTTTTATTTATTAGTCAAATTTTGATTGAATTGTTGCAGAAGAGCACTATTATGTTCATATTTAAATTTCCTTTTGATACTACTGGTTCAAATTGAAAGTTCATTAACATATTCACCAAATAAGTGCAACTTTGATAATTTTGTTGCAGGAGCAGCTTTAACATTGTTGCTTTCATTTTTCAGTCTTATTTACTTAATTATCAAGTGCTATTTTTAAACCTTACTTAGTTAATATAGTATGAAATGAGTTGCAATTTATTTAAAATTTGTTTATTAGTATGATTTTGACCAATTTGCTCTATTTAAATGTATTACAATACATTCAATTCTCAATCTGTTTCAACCTATGTATATAGTTCTTAATATTATTTGTCCCATATCCTATTTTGAATAACTTGTCTGGAAGAGCATGAACTGTTAAAAAGTTTGCTATATTATAATTTAAATTTTACTTCTGAATGTATCATATTTCTTTAGAATTTCAGAGGTTAAATAGTAACTAAGTATATTTTAACTGATTTTGAATATTTCCCCTTGTCAGCAAAAATAATCTAGTTACCCATGTAAATCATTGAAAGCTGTTTTCAAAAGTATTTTAAATTGAATTTATTTTCTGAATTTATCTCTTGAATTTATTTTCTTAAATTTTTTTTCAAGTAATCTTTGCCCATTTAATAAAAATATTGTTTTGTTATCTGCATTTAATGTATATCATTACCTGCATTTAATGTATAATGTAATGTATATCTGCACTCTTTGTTGCAACATTTAGTTCATATGTTAATTTTTTTCTACTTCAAAATTTATTTTTATTATTGTATTTGAATACACATACGTATAAATTTTAAAGTGTTCATACTTTTCCCATCTTTTCATCATTATATGTTTAAATATCTGAGGTAAATGTTTTAAATTTTTTTAAAAGTAAACAGCCTTTATCAAGCAATTTTAATCATCAAGCTCATTTGTAGTATTTTTGTACTTCATCAAGATTTTTTTCATTATTAGCATTTCATTCATGTTCATAAAATACGCTGACCTTTCTGTTTTTAGCATCTAATATTTTAAAGATTTTATCAAGATAGTTACAAATGTAGTAGTTATACGTTAGAAAGTTAGAAGTGTAAATACTACTGACTTTATTTATCAAATTTATTCTTAGATTTAATTAATTTATTTTTCCTTTCATGTTATTAGCTCACTATCATCTAATTAGTTCATTTTTTGCTTTGAATTTAAGCTTTTCTCTGCTTTATTTTTTATGTTCTGGAAATAAGGCTTTCTTGGATTTTGATAAATTGTATTTTTTTTTTAAAGTAAAGAAAGTAAAAGCTGGAATTGAAATATCTTTTAAACTTTGATATTTGCTTTTGAATTATTGCAACAATCTTAAGCATGCATATTTTCAGCAAAACTTAGATTCTTCAAGGGCATGTAATTTCAGCTGGATACTCGATACTGAATATTTAAAGTATGGTAATTTACAAACAGCTTGAAATATATTAGGCTAAGTAATGAGTTATATATTTTCTTGTTATTCTTAAAGTATATGTGCTCATTTCAATAATACCTTCTTAGTCTGACTCATGGCAAAGTGATAATAATGATCTTGCTAATAATTGGATTGTAATAGGCCAATTAGCTTGGGCATATACATTTGGAACGAATAAAAATTTTTATAGGAAATGAATGTGTTTATATAATTTAATTAGTGAAATTAAAAACTTCTCTTGTAATAAAAGATGTCAGAATAATTTGTTTTTATATTGTTCAAATATAAAATAGTTCATTTAAATATCACAATTTTACATTAATTAAAACTTTTTGTTTGTGCACATATTTTTCAGTTTTGGTTTTTTTTGGTGTGCTGTTATGCTGATACATTATAATAAACCCTTTTATTTGTAACTTGCAGAAGTGATATGGGTTATTGTCACCGTGGCTGAAGGTGGCTTACTTAGTATAACTCAGCAGATGGATGCCTTTCATCATCTTGGATCTCCACCAAGGACATCAGTAGTGTCTCAAAATCCTTTTTCATCCCATGCAAAATTTGGAGGTAACATATGTATATGAATCTTTTTCAAATGTGTTTAGATTGTAAAGCTCCACAGTGAAAATATTATGTGACATTCTATTGAAACTGATAAAATTAAATTTGGAATGTATCGAAACATTAGAAAGCTGTTTGTAGATTTTTTTCCGAATGACAACAACCTTAATCCTGGCTATGGCAAAGTGGTTAAGATGCTGAATTATTGTTGAGAAGGACTGTGATTTTATCCTTGTTGAAAGCTTAAAGACCAGGACAATCCAGCTTCAGATTCACTCAACTTGTCTGAGAAGTAAAAGCATCCAGTGTGCAATGCTGACCCCTTTGCCATATTCCAACAATGTTTTCGAAATTTTGGCTCTTTCCCAAGGTTTTTCAAATTAATTCTCATATATTTAATCTGTCGTAACAACTACGATTTTCGAATTTGATCTATCGTTTATTGAAAGGTTTGATTCGTGACGATTCTATTGTAATTTCACATCATTTAATGATAGTTTGTTTAAGAGTTATTTATACTTTTTTCAGCCTTTTTCACATGGTTTCATAAATCCCAATATTATTAATACAATGTTGTTAAAAGTACAAATTTCGATTTTCTAACACATTCGATTCGTGATAGTTCATCTATTATTTCCTGTCATTTGCTGATATATTTTCAAAAGCTATTTAGCATTTTTAGGCCCTTTTCACATGGTTTTGCAAATTTTGATGTTTTTAGAGTGTCATTATGATAATTGAACTTGAGTTAGCACTGTTTGATGTATTCAATTCTTGACAAATCCATCATAATTTTGCATCGTTAGATGATAAATAATTTTTTACAAATTTAAATTTTGTGAAGGGGTTCTTTTCTAAAATTTGAATTTTGTAAAGGGGAACATCAATTTCTGCTTTTAATGTCAAAACTCAAGTTCAGTGCCCATTATTATACTGAGAGTTTGATTACAGTGCATATTTTATAATAGTAATAAGCAAGTCTTGGTCATAAGTAATATAAAGTTATAAGGTAATAGTGGTGACAGTGGAATGTTTCAGTAAAATATTGTATTTTAAGAGATCGTCTTTATCATAGTGATTAATTCGTAAATTAACTATTTATTAAATATAATAAATTCCCTTAATTTTCTGTGACATCATTTTTCTTTTTTTCTTCTTTTAATTAAAACCGAAGCATCTTAAAATATATGCTTAGTTTTTGTTTGCCAGCCGGCTTGCGTAGGTATATATGTAGTATTTATGCAGCAAGAATATATGTAGCCTTATGAACAAATATATATGTAGCATTTTTAAATAAAAAAAAAGTCTTTGAGGCTTTTCACATGTATTCTTTTTCAAAAAAGTTAAACCATTAAGTGGATAATTTTATCATCGTTTCTTTTAATAAATCCTTGAATTAAATTTTTTTGAACATAGGTTAAAAATTATTTTATTAAAAAGTAAATAAATAAGTAAATGAAAACTTAAAATGTTGATAATTCAAACCTTTAGACATATTTAATTAATTTCTTTACATTTTGGAATTTTAATGTTAAATTTTTTTCCTTCCAAACTCTATTAAAACTAGTTGGAAAAACAATTTTAAATTACTTATACTAGTTATGTAGTTTTTCTATATTTATTTTTGATTTAAAGGTGAGGGGCTGTTAGAGATTTTCTGAAACTTTTTATAATGAATAATTTGCTTTTTGCTTAATTTAAATAAATATCAATTTTCAGAAGTACCTACATCTATGGAAGCACTTTCAGATTCTCAAGTTATGCCACATCTTTCATCTACGAATGGGGATAATTCATATACTCATCAAAATAGTATAGCATCGCCATCACTAAGGGCTGATCATCAGGTATATTTGTTTATTATCCAAACATTTTAGTGTAAATATTTAAGTTTTAGATAAACTCCTATATAAGTTTTTTGTTAAAAAATAATTTATCAATCATTCAGAGTCAAAAATAAATGGCCCTTCTCACACTTTGAAAGAGAAGATAATTTTTACTTAAAAATAAACAATTACACTTTTAATTACACATGCTTTTAGTGTTTGCAAGTTATGTCTCTAATTTAGTTCTAACTATATATTTTTTTGTAATTTTTATTTTTGATAAAAAAAAAATCACTTGGAACTTTATCTCAAGTATAAAAGGTGCTGTTTCACTTTTTAATTCCCAGGTTCAAATAAATTCAGCTTCTTAAAAAAGCAGAATCTTGTAAATTATGAATATTTAGGTATCAGAGCAGGGCAAACATTGCATTCTGTTGGGCTTGAAACATATTCTCTTTGGGATATAGCTAATATATTTTTGATTTTTTTAAATGTTTATACTTAATTTTTATTGTCCACTTTGTGGATAACATTTAAAAAATCTTATTTTTTAATGTGATAGGGATAATTTGTGTGAAGGGATTCCTTGAAGTTGAAAGCTGAAACTTCTTAATCATTATTGAGTTTGATGCAGTTTTTTAACCTATCTTTTAATAGTTATAGAATAAGTTATGATTTCAAATTTAAGTAAATTAAGGTTTGATAAAAAAAAACTCTGGATTAAGACAAATTAAATAAGTTCAATTGAATTTTATGTAGCACAAAAATCTGATACTCAGAACTGATCATATTGACGATGTTATAAATAATATTTTATTATTTCTTTAACTTTGGCAATAAATTTAATCCATCCAATCTTTTCAATTTTGGAAAATAAATATGCTGTGTGGATAAAATCTTTTATAATAAAATCCTAATTAAGAAATAATAATAATTTGTTTGTTATAATTTTATGATAATTAAATTATAATTTAGAATGATATAAATGAAATTATATAAATAAAATTGTTCATTACTTGGGAATTTTTTTTTAGGATCTTGCATGGTTCTACAAATAATTTGCACAGCAATTTTTCCCAAATCACATAAAGTTTAAGAACTACAACCCAAAAATTATGTTTCGTGTATTTTGGAGCTAAGTGAAATAATTATTGTGAGATGTGATAAATTTTTAAAAATGTTTTTAACTAACAAAAATTACATATTTTTAAATGCATTTAGTATTTTTAAAGTAAAAGTAAAAATTAAAAGTATGAAATGGCCCAATTTTTCGAAAATAATTGTTAACATTTAAAAAAGGTGTTTATTAAAATGTGATTATAAATCTTTTAAAAATCTCTAATTTGTTGAATTTTATGACATTATAATAAGTAAATAGCTTATAATATTATATTATTATAGTTTGTAACCCTTTGTAGCCAGAATAAATTTTTGTTGGACGAATTTAATGTGTAGGTTAAAATGGTCAAAAAATAATTCTTTTTTTTAGGGATACACTTGAAAACATTTATTTTGAATTATACTCATTTTCAAAGTCTATTGCATTGTTCAATATCATGAGATCAGTATAATTCTCTGCTGTGAAGACAGAACTGAAATGATAATTTTCTAATGGCCAAGAAACGACATACAGCAGTTGTGGACTAAACTTAAATATTGTGTTAGCAAATAAAAGTTTTCTAATTTTTCAAATAAGTGCAATACAATTGAAACATTCAATTCAACAACGTGAGAACTCCATATAATTAATTGAAGAATACTTGTTTTCATACTGATTGATTCAATTGAAATAAGAATAATAATACGTAGATTCAAATTAAAGATTATAAATCTGTGATAATTTATGTTTTAAACAATCCAGAAAACCTGGTACAAAGTCAAGTGCAATAGATCATTTCTTTGTCTGACCTAAACATCCGGACCTGGATTGATTGTATAAACTATATTAAATTCACTTCCACAATGTCTATCTTTTTTTGGAAACTTTTCTAGAAACTCTTCGTTATTATTCCCTGATTTAAAATGTTTTTTTGAAGACTATTTCTTGGTTTCATACCTAATTTTTAATTTTAGGAATCACCACAGCAGTTCCTTGGGTCTCCAAATGTTACCCAGAATTTTTTAAAGAATGAATCATCTAATGAAGAAATGATTTCTTAATTTGTTCATGTTGAATTGAAACATTTGTATTTTGTGTGTTTTTTCTTTAATTTTCAGTCTTATCTTGAAATTGACATAATGAATTTTATTTTAAAAGCATATCTCTTTTAATATTTTGTTGGTTCTCTTACATTCTATTTATTGCAGTTCATCAAGTTAATATTAAACTTTGTAATCACTTTTAATGGAATTGGACTTTTTTATTTGTTATGTTTTCTTATTGCATTACATATTCACTTTTAAAAAAAATTATTTTAAGGGCCAAGTAAAACTTATCAGAGCAATATTTCCTAACATACTCTCTTTGTGTTAGTCTTTTTCTTAGACATTTAAAGCATAGTACCTTGATTACTCAAAGCATAACTACTAACTTTACTAAAATTTCTTGTAGACTGGTTGAATTTTCCAATTTTTTCTGTTTTAACCAAAAATCTCCTCTGCTTTGAAGCATCTTATTATCTAAATTATTATCTTTATTAGAAAATTATTGTCTAAATAATTTTCTAAGTTATTAAATAATTTTCTAAATATTTAAATAAGTATTTCTTCTAAATATTGTAGTTAATTTCATTTATAGTAATCAATTTGTAGCTACTTTTATTTTAACATACCATTTTTTTAAAATGCAGTTTCTTTATTATTAAATGTAAGTATATTTTATGCATCACAAAAGTATGCATTCAAAAATAATCTTAATAAAAAAAGATGTTAATCACAAAAGTTGTTTATTTAATAATATTAATCTATTTAATGTTAAGCAAAAATGAAATAAAAACGTTGCAGTTACTTTACATTTAGAGTTTTTAAGTGTAATATAGTTTTTATATTTTATTGACTGTAAAATCCTTAAAATTTAATGTGTCTTAAGTCTTTGAGACATTGTGCAATTTGTTAGCAAGAAATTTGTGTTTAATAAAATCATCTAGATAATTTTTTAAATTTATGTTTTATTTTTTTATGTTAGCAGCTTTATTCTTAAGTTATTAGGAAAAGACCTACTTTGAAAAGTTTAAATAGAGGTAACATCATTTTTCAATCTAATTTTAGTCACAAACTGAGAATCAAGATTTTTTTTGCTAATTTAATCCCGCATTTCAATCAAACCAATTTATCTTTTCTTGTCCACGCTTTTCAGTTCGCTACAAGTAAGATCTTTTTGCTTATCAAGACTTTGTTTAGATATGAGTACATGAAGTGCAATACTCATGACGTTGTAAATAATAAATATAGAAGAAAAATATTTTTGTTTAAGTGAATTAGGATGGCATATTATTGAAAAAGAAGAAATAAAATGTTAAGTTTACCTGTAAAAAAAACTCCAGAAATGGCTTTGGTTAGGAAAAGTATTGAAATGAAAGAAGTTCAGATAATCAAGATGCTAGTTTATTTCATACTTAGTATGATCATAATGTTTATGCTAATGATCATTTTAAGATTAAAATTAATTTTTTTAGAAAAAAGGAATAAAATGAATTTTTGATTTTCTTAACTTTTTGCACCGGGCACTTAACGTGCTACAGTATGTTATTCTGGTTTACTTGTTGGACCAGCTATAAACAAGAGGTTAAAATAAATTTATTTTTAGTGGTGAGTATGTCAAGTCTCAGCATATTTATTGTTATTAGTGACTGTCACATCAGCAACCAATTTCATAACTATTAGCAGTTTTACAATTCGAACTGTACTAAACATTATGTAAGGGTTTCCTTTTAACATTTATTAAAATAAAGTTTATTTTTGAATATTGTATTTGATATATTAAAATCATGTATCATATTGTTTAATTTGTTGATATAAAATATAGTACGATTTATATTAAAAATTGTGTATATTAAAATGTACAGTAGTGAAGAGAATGCTTGAGTTTTTACTTGATATGGTCTTGGATTTCATGCTATGGGACATTCTTGTTGTTCCTATCAGAAGGCCAACCATTGTTTGTTTGAAACTATTGTGTATGAGTTACAAAGTTTGCTTACCTGTTAACTTTCATGTTGTAAGAACAAATTTTTTGTCAATTTTGTAATAGTCAAGAAAATATTTCCAGGCAATCTATTGATTCTTCAAAAAAAGTTAAAGATTTAGATCTCCAACTTAAATTGCGTTGTGCCAAAATGTGAAGCTATGATAAAATTATTCAAAATGCTAATTAATATAGGCTTTTGATTTAATTCATATTTGGACCGAGTGCTTTGATAAAGACTGTAAATAGAATTTTAATAATTTGAGTTCTTGCATGGTTTTTAAGGAAAAATTTAGTTTAAAATATTTTGTGTTTTAGTTTAAAGGAGTTTTTTTTTCTATGTTGGTTATTAAAAAAAAAGTTTGATTTTTTTAATTCAAAAAAGTTTAATATTCCTATTTTTGCATTAAATTATAAATATTGGCGAATTTTGAACTTAGTTTGTGCTAATGTATTTTAACATACGCTAAAAAATATTTAGATTCTATAGACTATTTTCAATTAAACCATATTTCTATTGAATATAAACTAAATAGTTTATTTTCTTAGATAAATTGCTTTTAATGCTTTAAGCTCACATTCATTAAATAATCTTCAAATTACTTGTAAATTTATTATTTTTTGTTAAACAATTTAATATGCTATAATTGGGTATAATATAGCCTACGTCACAGGTTGTGTTGTTCCTACTAAATTTAACCCATGAACGGCATTTTCTGCGAGCCTAACTTCATGCCACAAATAAACAAACGAAGTGTTCGATCGTTTAAATAGCTGCTCGCCAGATTTTATTGCATTATAAAGAAAAGTTATTGAAACTAAATAAACAACAACAACTAAAACAAATAACAACAACTACTAATAACAATAACTAAATAAACAACAACTAAATTCCATTCGTTTAGCATTGCGTCATATGTTGTTCCTACTAAATCGAAGTAGTTGTGTTTTTTTCATATTATACCCAATTAAATACTTTTCAATTTTTATTCAGTATTTACAAAATTATTTTTCTGTGTGTGTGTTTAAATGCTTTTAAAATTTCCTATCTAAAAAATTATAACTTCACAACTGAACTCTTCAAATTTAAAACAAAGTGATTTTTCCATATCTTGTAAATTAGTTTTATTTTTCTTTCTTATAAAATCTAAAAGTTCAGTTAGTCAATAATTAATATATCAAGCTAATTTTATGCCATTTACATCAAGTTCTCTTTACTGAAAATTTGTTAGTCGTAATTTACCTTTTATATATATGCATACAAGAGTTGTATGAATGGTTCATACATCACATTGTAAAAACCTAACCATCAGTGTTTCAGCTCGCATAAGTACGGAGTGGTGACATCTGATGAAATTTAATTATATTTAGAGAATCCTTTGAATAGTGTGTGAGGTTTAAACTCATTTTATTTTCCTCATGGAATTTTTATTTGTAGGCCTAGCTATTGACACACAAATGTATGGATTTGTCTGGTCTTTGTTATCATTTCAGTATTTTTTATTATAGTCTTTGTCCTAGTTTTGTACTTACAATAATCTGCCAGAATGTTGAAAACTGTTTCTTTTGGTTTAGGTTGTTAAATGAATCAGTGTCAATGTGGAATTTTTTGTTGCATGTGTTTGTTAAAAAATTACATTTGTAAAAAAATATTTTAAACTATTTTATGTCATTTTTCCCTCTTTGTAAGCTATTCACTACTTTTAACATTTTTGTATATGGTAGTAAGCAGTTATTTTGAAAGCAAAATTTTATTTTTTGCACTTATGAAATTTAGCACTGTTTATTAGTTAAAGAAAAATATAGATCTTAATATGGATTTTTTTTTTTTTAAAGTGCACCAAAGTAGACTTAAAGCTTTATTTTTGTTTTTGATCTTCACTTTTTCAGTTTCAGGCATAAAATTTATCTTATATTTTGTCATTAGTAAAGCAGGAGGCCGATTTATTGGTTAGAAAAAAAAAATCAGGACCAATGAATCACTTTAAAAAAAAAAAAGGTTATGGCAATGTTTTTCAAGTAACTTCGCTCCACACTTAAACCAAACTTAGGCCTAGCCCTTGGATGAATTGCTTAGGACGAACTGCTTACTCATCTTAATATTCAGATTTGATCAAATTTTTAAATTCTGAATTTTCACTTGATGAGGGCAATTTACTCCAATTTCTCTGATTGCAGGACACAGTTTGAAGTCCCTTAACCAATCAGAGCTCATTTTGAGACATCTTCATTTAGATTGACCTTCATTAAAAATGCAGTTTCTTTTTTGCACTACAATGGATGGCCACAGAACTGGGAAAAGACTGGGAATTGAATCATTCTTAAAATGTCAGAGAATTTAACTAAAATACCCAAAATGGCTGGAAAAATGAATTAATTTGAATTTAAAGTTTCTAAAAGTTTAATATTTTTTCCCAGGAAATTGCGCTTGCAATATTTTTTATTTATTTTGACCTCTAATGGTAAGTATAAGTATTTTTTTTAAATAAGCAATAAGTGCATAAGGCATTACCGATAAACCAGAATGAAAACAATTGAAATTCTAAAAAAAATTAAGCAACTGTCAGGGAAATTTTTTTTCGTTTTGAGTGTTAGAGACCATCCTATCATTGAAACTAGGCAGAACCAGAACAAACCCTGAGCTGAGAAGAAATATCCTTTTCAAGAGTAAAAAAGAAAGTTTACGACCCCTGTAAGAGAATATGAAAATAGTTGTTAACAAAATTGTTTTGGAATAGGCTACGTTCCTCGATCAATTTGACTAATAGGTGTTCTAATAAATGGCTTTCTACTGTATCGCATTTCCAATAAAATTAAAAGATTTTCATTTCATCTCATTTTTATCCTAAATTTTTAATTTGAAATTAAAATTTATTTCAATATAAATTTAGTATAAAAATAATTTGTAAAAAAATAAAATGCACAATGCACTGATAAGTAACCTCTCAAGTTCGCATATTAATAAAATGATGTTTTCAGGAACATAAAATTAACGAAAGTTTTTGATGAATTAATTAGTATAAGGCGCTTGTTTACATATTTAATTGTTTTTAAATGATTGTTATTCATAATACTTGTTTAAAATTATTGAAATTCTTATCTCTGAACAGATTCATTTTTCTACAATATTGAATGTAAGTTTTTCACTATTTTTGATGCTGTTATAAAGAGGACAGTTGTATAACTAAGAATTTTTTCTGTGATAGCTATGAATATGAAATAAACTTATTTAAACTAATAGTAAGTGTATTGGTCTTTATATTTAGATTTTTTTAAAGGTTTGTTTTTAGTTTATCATTTGATATTTGTAAGTACTATATTTATAAATTTTTGTAATTAAAGTAAATCCTTAAATTCCAAGTAAATTTTAGATATTTTAAAATAGTTGCTTATCAGATACGATTATTTAGAGTTTGATTGTCTTAATTTTATCTCTTTGAAATGTAATTTATTAAAGCTTTGTAAAATTGTGCACTACTTTTCTGAAAGAATTTAAAATAAAGTGTGAAAGAATGTTTCTTGCCTATTTGTTCCTAGTTTTCAAAAGATGCCATAGAATGAATTGACTAAATCAAACAAATTTTTAGCTATATGAAAGTTTTATTTCTTAAACCTTATTTATAAATGAAGTATCAATAATTTTATGTAATTTAAATGTGAATTAATAAATCTTTGAATATATATTAAAATTTAAACAAGTCACTTATAAATTTTTAATCCTTTAAATCTTAAAACAAAAATCTGTATACAGTTTGTTAAAATAAGGTCCAGTACTGCAGATAGGAACTGCATCATTTTTATACCAGTTATGAAGTTTTAAAATTCGGAGAAATATTATAATTGAAATAAAATGAAAATGTGCTAACCTAGTTTACCGAAGGTCAAGGCAGACAAATTATGCAATTATGAAAATTTGTATGATAGTAAATATATAAACAGTACTGTTTGTCCTAATAGTATTTTTGAATAGGTAATTTAAGTCCTGTTTATTTTAGTATAGTACATTTGTTTTTATTTTAACTGCTAATGATTTAAAATTCCTTGTACATTGGAATCGCATTTTTTAAACGTTAAAGCTGAAACACTTATTTTGTTAAATTTTCTATCCAAGAATGTAGACGATAATTTCACAGCTTTCTATTTTTCAAATTTAATTCACAGTACTTTAAGGATATTGCATAATAAAGTAGATACAATAAAGTGACGCCAATTATTATTTCAATAACTAATATCAACTGAAATGAATTTTGATATTGTTACCCATGTTGAGCTTTCTTTCATGCAAATGTTTTTTTTTTTTTTTTTTGCATTTTCGAGGTGTTTTTTTAAATATGCCTTTTTTTAATTTTTATTAAGTAGTTTTAAAATTGCGGCTTCGTCACACACTTGAACACTACCCTAAAAAAGTAAAGGAAAATCTAGACTACAGTTATGGATTTAGAGCTTGTTGGTGTTAATTAAATCTCTGTCTGTAGTATAGTTCTATTTTTCTTGTCT